CTAAAAAAACATCAATCTGAAATTTTGGTTGCAGCTATAGCGCGTTTCATTTAAAGGTTATGTTATATATATATTGTATACAAGTATAAATAAGCAATACTTGTTCATTTAACAGTCAATTTACTTTTTTTCAATAATAAAATTTTATATAAAATAAAATATATTTCTATGAAAACCACAATAACTGGATGGTTCAAAATAAAAATGTTCCTCCTTTAGGAAAAATAATTAAGTGAAATTATAAAGCTACCAGGACTGATTTGTTTTTGTGTGCGTTTCGTCTGCTCGATAGTGCAGTCGCAGTCGACCAACCCTTTAAAACTTTATGTAGGTACCTACTGTAATTTTAAAATAAAGAATATGGTACCTTTATATAACTGACTAATTAGAGGTTTATAATACATTATATCTCCATAGAGACATCAATCTGAAATTTAGCTGCAGCTATAGCGCGAAGTGACCTTTACTTTGTTTTTTTAAATGGAACCCTATAAATATTATTGCATTTTTGAATGTTATCTAAAATTCTGGAGCCATTGAATTTTGAGTATTTTTCCTATATTATACTTGTTTTTGAGATATTTATTTTTTTACAGATGGAGTGACTAACTAAAATGTCTGTATTTCCAAAAATTGTAATGTTGAATAGTTCATTCTTGGTATACACGTTAACAATACATTCAATCCAGCTAATTTTTATTTTAAATGATTTTCAAATAATTACAATTTTAAATGCCCAATTATATCTTAAAGAAACTTTTTAATGTGTTGAATCAATTAAATGAATTGAATGAAAGTTTGTAATAGTATTGTAAAATTGTATCCAATAATTATATGAATATACTATAATAATACTCTAATAGTCCATCAAATTTACCGCATAATGTATTGATTTAATAATATGTACTAATTTAATAGATTAGGAAATTGTTATTTTTGGCAACATTTTGCATGTGTGATCGATATCAAAAACCTTAAGCCAAACAAGCTCAAGTCGTTTTGCTCTTACTTCATCATTTATTCAAATTGTTTTTTAACGATCTTTTATGTTAATTTTTGGTTAATGGAATTTGTTTTAATTTGACTATTTATTAATATGATTTATTTAATTAGGACTTAAAGGTACAATAAATTGTTTAATTACACGAACATAATATGGGCCAGTGAAAGTAAATATGTTTCAAAATCCATAACATTATTATTGACAAAAAAATCACTATAATTACATTTAAGTCGACTTTTGGATAAAATTACAATTTTCTTACAAAAATAATTTCTAGGCCTGTACAATTTAGCCGGTTAAGTCGGCTAAAAAGTTAATTAGCTGGCGGCTTAACCGATTAATCTAGCTTTGCTCATTTAATTAGCCGGTTAGCTAATTAGCTGAGCTTAGCTAGTTAATAAACTTAGCTAACTTCTTTAGCCGGCTTAACCGCCCAAATTGTACAGCCCTAATAATTACTTTCATTTGTTTTATCAACTCCATGGATTGTTATTAATGCTGGTTACAATATTTAAACAAAATTTGTGGGTTAACCAAAATATCAAAGTATACCCGTGTAAAATGTTGAAACACGACATATTTTAAAAAACTTAAGGCATATTATGTTAAAATATATTTATTTTTGTAGTTAACATATTAAATTTTATTTAAATTATCTACACTTGTTAATGGTTTGTAGGTGTATATAACTATACCTAGTTACGTCACTTTTATGTTAAATAGGTTTATGAGTAAATTTCCACCCATTCCCAATGTTGTTATTGTTTAAAATATTTGTTGGAAATCTTTTAAATTTTTAAACAATTATTAATATTATTGTCATTGTCAAAAACTGCATGGACTTCTTTCTTAATAAAACTTTACATTTATTAGGATAATAAAGGTATCAGGGCTCCCACAGCTAAATTAGAAATTTTATTTAGGAATTTAGGAGATTTTTTGTAAAATTTTAGGATAAATAAAGTAAATAGAATTCTTTAATTAAATAAAAACAACTCTACACTATAGTTAAAAAATAAGAAAATAATATATAATTCTTTCTAAGAAAATTTTAAATATCAACTCTTTTGTACAAATAAGTAACATGTTGAGTTTTTTAGCCAAATCGCTCGACGGGTATTTTTGTAATAAAATTAAAAGTGAGGTAAAATTACTACTTTTGTATATCTTAATTTTATTTAAAAAAACGCGTCGATTGATTTGGCTAAAAATCAAAATCAAATGATGGTATGTTAAATCAATTTTATATTTTAAGAAAAAAATCTTAACCGTTTAGTTAACATAATTATACTTAACAATTATTATAATGTGGATCTTAAATTAAGATTCTTAATACTCAAAAATCTCATAATAGATAATATATGGAGTTTGCAATATACAGGAAAACATTATTTAGATTGTATACTAGCTGTCATTTAAAAGAACATTAAAAATCCTTTTGTTTGTTATATAACACGGTATATTTTTGTCTCAAACAAACGAGATAAGTCTAAAAATGACAATTTTGTAGAAGTCTAAGAGCTATTACTTAGGTTTTGTTGTTTTTTTTTTAAATGTTGGTTGTGATATTATATCATTTTAAAAAGACTTAAATAAACTAGAATCTAAAAATATATACTTTTAAAAAAGAAATTTTTTAGTACGACAACTACCTTAATTAAACGCAGTCAGGTTGGCCTATACTATTTATATTTAATTTTTAGGAGTTTTAGGAGATTGATGCCAATTTTAGGAGAATTTTAGGAGTTTTCAAGATTTAAGCCAAATTTTAGGAATTTTATGAGTTTTAGGAGGTGTGGGAGCCCTGAGGTATTTCAAAAAAACAAAAGCAGAAAGTGTAGATTTGTTGGCTCAACAACTTTTATTGCTTCGTTAAATTTGTTACCTATTTTTTTGACTTTATTAATCCATCTTAAATATTTATAATTAAACTGTTTTAATCCAGAAGTTACCAGGCCCGGATTTATAAAATAGGCTAGCTGGGCCATAGCCGATGGCGGCAAATTTTGGAATGCCAAAATTCTTTCCTTGAACACTAACATCAAAGTATTAACGCTATCTATCTGCTAATTTTCCGCAATTTTTTTGTAAATTTACTATGAGTAATTTTCCTATTATTATACTAAACATTAATTTATTACCTATTTTGTAATAAATATAGCTATACCTAGGTATAGCATACACTGAGAAAAATTTGGTAATTTACGAGGTAATTTAAAAAAATACTATTATTGATTTCAAATTTAATTATTTAAACAACATCGGAAAAAAATATTTAAAATTAAACTGCATTTCATAATTTCAATTAAACTTTTTTTAATTTAAATTTTTTAAATAATTAAATTGGAAATCCATTAAATCATTTAATTTAAATGTATAGATATAAACAATAAGGTGGTATAGATATAAACAATAAGGTGGATTTTTAGCACTCGGCCATCGGGCGCTTAACACTCTCAGCCGATTTTATTATTGACCGTTTTTTTTATATAAATACACTCACAAGCAAAATAATCGATCCACACAAATTTTCGATGAATTTCAATCGCAAATAACTTTTTTATTTGATATCGGATTTAAACAAATATTAAATAATATTGTAGATACATTAATGGAGAATCGCTCACATTTTAAAAATTACTAAAAAATACACGTACGTTTATTATATACAGGTTTAAACAAAAAGATGTTTTTTACCATAAGTTTAAGACACTCTGTAGAGTGGCAAAACCGTATATTGTTCTAAATTAAGTTTTAATTATCAAGTCACATCTATTTTTAACAGTTTTGTTTTTGACACACCTTGATATATTTATTTTTGTGGAAAATATGTTTTTTTTAAACATTGCAATTTCCAATATTTTTCCTGTATGAAGAACTAAGGTTGCTATGGTCTATCCATAGCCTATGGAGGATAACAGTGACAGTTTTGTTGAATCATCCCATACTTGCACATGTCATATACAGCTTTTAAAAGCTATCAAATTGTTTTTTGTAATTTAATGTGTTAATTTTGAGGTGTCTTCTTACTTTTAAAAATGTCTCCGACTGATTTTGCCCTTTGTTCTTTACTTCTTGTGACGTTTAAAACACTTGCCACGTAATACTGTGACCTTCCATCCTGGATTAAATTAATGGCTCTGGCAACATCAGTCGGAGACATATCCATTTTTTAAAGTAAGAAGACACCTCAAAATTTAAACAATAATTTGCAGCTTTTGAAAGCCGTATGACATGTCCAAGTATGGGATGATTCAACAAAACTGTCACTGTCATTCTCCATAGCCTATGGATGGACCACAGCAACCTTAGTTCTTCATACAGAAAAATATTGGAAATTGCAATGTTTTTAAAAAAATCCATATTTTCCACAAAAATAAATATATCGAGGTGAACCAAAAACAAAACTGTTAAGAATAGATGTGACTTGATAAATAAAAGTTAATTTAGAACAATATACGGTTTTGCCACTCTACAGAGTGTCTTAAACTTATGGTAAAAAACATATTTTTATTTAAACCTGAATATTATAAACGTACGTCTATTTTTTAGCAATTTTTTAAAATGTGAGCGATTATCCATTAATTTATCTACAATATTCTTTAATATTCGTTTAAATCCGACATCAAATAAAAAAGTTATTTGCGATTGAAACTCATTGAAAATTTGTGTCGATCGATTATTTTGCCTGTGAGTGTATTATAAGAAGATTGCCTAAAAATTTTGTGTGCACCACTGCCAAAAAGTATTATTTTGTCTTTGGCTTCTTTCTGGAACTTAAAATTAAAATCAATCTCGTCCAGAAAAAAATACTTTTTGGCCTTGGTACACAAATAACTAACAATATATTGTTTCAAATTGCCAAATTTTTTTCTCAGTGTAGGCGGCAATTTGGTTTAGCCTATACTCGTCAAATTTGTAAATCCGCCTCTGGATGTTGCCATGATTTCTTGTAAAAAATATCAATACATACCTAAATCCCTGTTTTTTGTTCCAGTATAAACAAAATCAACACCCTGGTAGACGTGCAATTTTGCAAAAGACTCGAAGAGCTATACATACGCCAAAATGACATAAGGGACCTAAACGAAGTAGTGTACTTACAAAACTTACCGAACCTCAAAAGCCTCTGGCTTGGGGAAAATCCATGCGCCAATGTGGAAGGGTACGTAAAATAATATGTGGAGACAATTTTTCAAAAAAAAAATGTTTGGCTAGATATCGGATGTCGGTGATCAAGGCGTTGCCACAGCTGCAGAAATTAGATAACGTAGCTGTCACTCCCGAGGAAGTTAGGGATTCACAGAAAAGGGGAAGGAGTTTAAGTCATCCTGAAGACCCTCAGGAGAGCGAAGAGGAATATGTGGCGCCTCAACCCCAATACAATAACAGGTGAATGAGAAAATATCATTTTAGTTTTTATTAATATTTATTTATTATAAAATATTTATAAACCAAATTTAATCTAAACTGTTAAAGAATTGTCCAAAATTCTAAAACCGACTGAAATTTTCTAACCCGTTAAAATGTAAAATTGTCTTGATCACCTTGTCCTTAAATCCTTAAAATATCCTAAAACTGTAAACGTTGTTCTAAAATAATTTTAACCGTCTTAAATCCTTGGAAATTATTTTTTTTCCATTAATAATACAATTTTGTTTTAGATACCAAGAATACTCTGAATCGGAATACAGCCCTTCGCAAAGAGTATCGCCTAGACAAGAGGTATTTTTTTAACGAGGTTTACTATTTTTATCAATAATTTAATCAAACTAACTTTAATTATCTAAAACTAATTTACCATGTTTACTATTAATTAACTTTACATTTTGTGTGTGTAGTCGCCTAATAATTTAACAAAAATAATCTCATTTAATAACCTTCAACCGTCAGACTACTACGACTGAGTACGAGCTAGAGGACAGTGAGGACATCTATCCGCGGGAGGAGGTATCAGAGGAGGGCAGTAGGGAAAGTAGGGAGAACAGCCCTCCCCCAAGACAAGTGAGTCTTTCTATAATAATTGGATCATGCTTTTTAATTTATGCTGATTACTTTTAAAAGTAAGGGAGGTGAAATTAATGATTTGTTTGTTTTTTAGGTTAGTCCGCCTAGGAGGGCGGAGCCAGTTCAAAGAAATTACAGTCCAGAACCATCAGAATATAATAGAAGAAGAGACAGTTATGAAAGAGAGAGTTCTCCAAAACAGAACCAATACTATGAGGTTGGTAAAGCTTTTACAATTTTTAAAATCATCTAATCTTTAAACCTTGAACCTAAGAATTAAACTTTGTCATCTTTTTTTATTTCTAACCTATTAATATTCTTACACCATATCATTTATATTAACAGAAAACAGCAACAAATTCATTTGAAGAATCTAACTCATCTGAAAATAATGGTTTTCATAGGGAGGTGAAGTTAGTTACAAGTCAGTCGGCCAATTGCATTAAGGTGGGTTACTAATTATAACAATTTTGTTTTTTTATATCAGCTTTTATTTTAATATTCTTGTTTTATTTCGCATTTAAGATCGGAGGATATGAGGCGCCGTTTGCCTCTAAAAAGTAATGCAAAAAATAAAACTCTCACAAAATATATAAAATCCAACAAAACATAGAAAAACAAACAAAACATATAATATCTCACAAAAAAAAAAAAGAATTTAGAAAACACAAAATATATAAAATCAAACAAAACATATAAAAGCAAACAAAATATATAAACTTGGGTTCCTCACTTGACCGTTTGAGGGCGCTCAACACATGCATTCTTATCATCTGTGTTATGATATTTGTAAAGTATAAAGCCTATGTCAAGTGTTCCCAAAGGGCGGGGAATTTAAAAATAAAAATCAAAATGCTGCAAAAGAAGTGTACAACATCATAACAACTAATTTATTATTCCTTCTATAATGTTCAAATAATTTCAAGCAAAGCAAAATTATCGCTGTGCAGATGTTAAACTTTGATTGGCAGCACTGCCCACACAATTGACATCGCAAATAAATATGAAAATTCGGCCTGTATACCAAATGTTCATAATTTATATATTTTGTGTTTTCCGTAAAATTTTATATTTTGTGAGAGATATTATACAAGGTGTTTCACATCAGTGGTCCATTAGAATTTCCTGGGGAACGAAAAAAATATCGAGTTGAAGTTTTAAAAGCGTTTATTATCCATTAAGGTTCATTTTTCTAAAATATTTTATACAAAATGCCACTTCCGGTTTAACCGGAAGTGACATCAACTTTGTTATTTCAAATAAAATCTAAATCTAAAACAATGTTTTAAGATTCCAAAAATTCCACCGCCATATCCGCACACCTAATAACAAAAAAGTTATAATCTATTCGTGATTAACGCGCATTTGTCAAATTTTAACGAAAAAAAAGTCCAAAACTATTCACTTTAGGTATAGGACATGGTATAGTAATTTTACTCAGAATTTCATACAGAATTTAAAAATGTAAAAATATATGGGGTGTTCTAATTCAAATAACAAAGTTGATGTCAATCTGGTTAAACCGGAAGAGACATTTTGTTCAAAATATTTTAGAAATACAGACCTATTATCCGTTATAAACCTCTAATCGATCACGAATGTGAAACACCCTGTATAATTTGTTTGATTTTCGGTTTTGTGGATTTTATTTGTTTTGTTATATTTGATATATTTTGTGTTTTCTAAATTCTATATTTTGTAATAGATATATTTATTTTTTGCATTAGTTAGACGCAAATGGCGCCTCAGAGAGAAGAGACAAATATAAAGATTAAGTTTATTTTTCTTTTCAAAATAATGACATGGTCAGATGTATTAGGTGTTCTTGTTTTTCCTTAATTATAGATTAAGGAAAAACAAGAACACCTGTAGTGTGGTGGTTGGCCCCCCGCCAATTTTGGATAATTTAATTTATTTGGTTTAAATGAATAAATAAACATTTATTTCTATATAAACAAATTATTGTACGGGTTTTTACCCGTTTAAAAAAAAACTGTTTTTACATCTTTAGTTATTATTAAATTATATAAAATTATTAACTAAATATTTTTAAATTTTTAGTCCACGTAAATACGAAAAAAATTAACTTTTTACTAGTACCTAGGTTATAGGGGGCCCCCTTAAGGTTCCCCCTCCGCACCGCGGGCTCTGCGGGGCTAGTTCTGCACGCCACGGGTGTAAAGTACACCATTTGAGTCATAATTTTTCCCAATAGGAATACACAAACGGGGACCGATACGTCCCTTCGCACAACTTCAGGAATTCTGCAGATGACAGGAGCGATGTGGCATCACAGCCAGGACACGAAAAAAGATGTCCTGCCGCATTTCGACATCCGTTTAATCAAAGGCGGCCAGTCACAAGGGTAAGTTGACCAAAAAAGATTTTTAAATATTTATGATTTTCTACATAATTTTTTTATGCTTTTTTGTAATATTTTAATTTATATGGAACTTTTCGGATTTTAATTGGGAAAATTTAGTAGTCGAATAGGTTTTAATGCCTCGTTTTCGAGAAACAGGGTAAAGTTTTTAAAAAAATATTTATTTTTGCTAATATTTCAAAAACTCTTTAGGTTTTTTAGTAATTTTAATATTAATGTAATTAAATTTAAATTAGTTTTTAAAAGTTTAATATTATTTTTTGATTAAGTAATTAATTAAAAATACAACTTTTTTGTATCCTGCATTTTTTATTTATATCGTTTAATTAAAAAGAATCGTTTATTTACTCTAAATTAATTAAGATACAAAAGACAAAGAAGTTGTATTTGCTCAACGGCAGCACAAACAAAGAATGTTTTTGCAAAATAATCAAGAAAATTATTTTTGACTTCATATAGGTAATTAAAGATCAGTCTTTAATAATTCTATAACGATAATAGGATTATTATTTATCAAAATTATAATTTTAAAGAAGAAAGGAAATAATAGGCGAGCGCGCTAAACGGCCGCACAAACGAAGAATTATTAATGCATTGTTACGTGCCAAATATTTCAGGAAAATTATTTCTAACAGATAATTAAACAACATTCTATAGACAATATGAGGCCTGTCATAGCAAAACCGACTATGGTCAAAAATTAGATTTTTGGCGGAGACTATACTTCAACTAATTATCTATAAGATGATAAAGTTTATGTGCTGCCAAAGGAGCTAAATCCTGCCTAAAATCCTATTTTAAAAATGACATTTATTGCAAAGTCGACAATCTCCACTGATAGATTTGCAGCAAAGTATACAATCTCCAATTCCACCATTAGAAATTAGTAATTTGTGTCACCTGATATTCTAACATTTGATGTTATAACCGTTATAATATATCGTATTTTAGAGATTTAATTTTGTGTTTTTTACTGGTACATACTGTTAAGTTCTATTGCAGTAAATTACACTTAAAAAATATATTTAAAATAGGTAAATCAATGTTTTATTGTTTTAAGAATTATAAAAAAAGTTATCTTGTTTATTTTGTGCTATTAGGTGTTTTCGCGGTGCTAATCCCGAACTAGATCGGACATCCTAGGCATGCGCATTTTAATATTTGTCATGCGTACTTTACATTTTGAACGCCAAATTTTAAAAGCGCATGCCTAGGATTTCCGGAATTAGTTCGGGATTAGCACCGCGAAAACACCTATTATACCATAATAAGACGTAAAGGTAAAGCAAGAAAAGTATGATGTCAAAACATTGCAAGTAAAACATTACGGGGCAAAGTGGGAAGGAGATAATGAGTTGTTGTACTATACAAAATTTTTTGCACGAGGCAACCTGTTCCCAGATTTAAAAGAAACTCCAGATTTATGTGGTCCAGTTCAGAATTTTCCCACATTGACTATATAGTTAAATTTTATAACCATTAAAGGGAGAAAAATACAATTATTTTTTTGTTTATTTTTCTAAATCTCCTTAAACGTTTACAACAAAATGAGCAATCTCCATCAAGTCATATCAAAGTCAGCAATCTCCTATTTATAATTATAGATTTCACCTATACTATGCATCCTAGAGACCTTGTAGTTTGCTACTAGACTAACAACAACAATATTTCAATATAATATATAAAAAAAATTACAAATCTAGAATTTAACATACCAAAATTAATTATCTCAATTTACTCAGTTTTAGTCTGACGGGAGATTTTTGACTTTGCTGACAGGCCTCATAAAATTCATTAATATTTGATTCAATGAACGCATTTTATAACAGCGACATTTCGTATGTTTTTAAATGAGAAAGTAGCTCATTCTTAATCTGTGAAAAAAATGATCTTCTCCACAGTTAGTATTTAGCATTACTATGTATGACATTACTAAGCTGGTTCATCATTTTGTTAATTAACTGACACTGACATTTCTCATCGAATCAGTGGTTATCATAATTACAGCTTGGTATTATCTTGTAAAAAATTTTAGAACTCGAACATCCTCTCGGCGGTGCTCTGCCTGGTAAAAGAGCTGGACTATCCGAGCCTGGAAGTAGTCGAAATGGCCGTAAGATGTCGCATGGACGAGCTGGACGAATGACGAAAAGTCGGCGGAGGCGGCGCCACGCATGCGCACTACGACCATCACCCGCCCCCCGCAGCACAACAAAACAACATCGAATAGCTTTAAACATTCAGCCTGACTTACGTTTTGTTTACTTAATTTTGTAGCTTTTTCACAGTGGGATCCTTCATCAAATTCGACATTTTTCGTTTTTACTTTTTTCAAAGAAACATATTCTTATGATTTTTTTTTAATTTTCATAAAATTAAATCATGGAATGGCGAATTATTGGGCCCTCTGTGTATTAAATTATTGTTGCACATACTTTTTTTATATATTTTTTATTTACAAAATACTTACATTAAGTTTAGAAGTATTATTAAATATGATGCCGATCGCGTTTAAAAAATTACAAAGTATTTTTTATTGTTGTTGGTTTGTTAATAATTGTTTAAATTTGTATATAAACTATAAATTTATTACATTGTTCTAAATAATTATGTTTATTCATTTAACTGTTTGTGATTTTCATAAAAAATAGGTTTTCTTTGTTTAAATTATGTTTTGTGTCTATTTAAATTGTTGGTCAGAACCAAAAATGACAATGTAATGTTTTAAATATTTATTTAATGACACTTTTTTGCCAAGAGATAAAATAAAATAAACTATTTTTTATGAAAATGTATTTTTGTTGAACATTTTAATTATTAGTTTTACTACAACATTGCCACTTATTTACAATATTTTTTAACGTTTTAGATTATGTATATTAAACCAATCGAATTTATAACAAAAGTGTGCAATATAGCTAAATATTTTATTTAATATTTAAAAAGTGGTTGTGAGTCACATTCTCTAAAAATACTTAAAAATCTCATTTTATATTAACTTGCCAATTTTTGATAATATATTACTTTAGCCATTAATTGTTTTATTGATTATTAATAAAACATGTCACATTCTTTATCGGGGTTTAAATCTGAGGTGGCGAACCCGTCAGCATCCACACAATATTTGTCGCCGGAAGGAGAAGTCTGCGTATTATTGTAATTTCCCGATTGTTGGCAATACAGGCTTGTTCCGTATCTTTTTTGATCTCTTGCGCAATCTAAAATAAAATTAGTATATTACTTATCAAGTTTTATAAACGCCATTTTAGTTACGAGTTTAATTAAGCACGAGCGAGCTTGTGAGTGAGTATTTAATAAAAACAAGTGTTTAGAGAAGTTTATAAACGACTGGCATACTATACTTTATCTACGACGAACACAAAACAGAATTTAAAGTCAATTTTATTTGTTAAAAAATTGACATCTGTCAACTGTCACCCGAATTTAACCCCCAAAATCCCCCCTGCGTACGCCCTGGTAAAGGTGGCGTCAGATCATGTTGTAAGCGACAGTCACAGCTTGGAAAACTAGTTACAATAGTCTTATTCAGCAAAAATACACAAATAATTCGATAAAACCGTCTACAAACTGAGTTTTTTTATTTGCCACAGGGGAGCTTACAGTTTTTTTCTACTCCCACCTTTAAAACGCCCATTATCGTACATGTTTCCATGACACTAAGTGACCTTTTAAATACACATTGAAAAGTTGTGGCTTTATAGCGTTTTAGTCACAAGCTGAAGTTAGCAACAGGTTTTTAGTCACGGGCTGAAGTTAGTTTTAAGTTAGTTGACAGTTGTCAAATGTCATACAATCGTTAAAATAAGGTGCCTTTCTTGAAAAATACTAGTTTCTCAACGCCAATATTTGAAAAGTTTATATGAACATTGTACTGACCTTTTAATTTCGCCGGCAGTAAACTAAAACTTAAATTCGGGCAAGGACTCCACACTGAAAGTGCCCATAAAACATTGTCTTTACTTTCACTGTGAAAAACTGTCCATTTTCAACGAATACATTTAGATTTATAACCTTTATAATCTGTGTTTATAAAATATAAAAATTTGACATTTGACGGTGACACACAGATTGTTTCATAGATGGCGCTCTATACAAATATTTGATTTAAATCATTTTAAGATAATAAGTATTTGTCGTAGAAAAAGTATAGTATCCACCTCGTTTATAAACTTTTCTATACACTCATTAATTTAAGCACTCGCAAGCTCGCTCGTGCCTAAATTAAATTCGTGTATAAAATGGCGTTTATCAAACTTGATACATAAAATACTATTCTAGGGTAACTTTGATATGCGCTTTCAAAAATGACCATCATTGGAGCATAATGATGGCCTTCATTTTTGAGATATTGTAAAAAAACAAGAATCATTGGTTAAATAACAGAATTTAATTTAAAAAAATAAATTATATACATTTATAAAGTAAGTCCCTTAAAAAACTATTTTTAACAAAATAAAATCGCTTTTTTGCAAAAATTCGACATTTTTAAGAAAAAAATAATTTAATTTTTTTTTTAATATTCTGAAAAGGAACGAATTGGTTTTTTCCTAGTTTTTAAAGTTAGTTAACCAAAAAATAAATTGTCCACCTAAAATTAAAAATGAATGTAACACCTAAAGAATCTTTCCATTGACCAACCCTGTATGTAGGAACTCATTTTTAGTAGGAACTTTTAAATACATAATTATCATTGGCCCCTCTATGTTGAACTCCCTCTAACCCAAACAATTTAACATGTCAGATGATAAATCTACTTGAAGACTAGTCTCCAAGTAGATTTATCATCATTACAGCTGTAATGCCAAAAATGAACTTGATCAAGTCTTGATCATAAGAAAACTGAGGATTAAAACAAAATACGTGAATTTTCGTAATGATTACCTACCTGAGTTAATGTGACATGATCACTGTTAATTGGTACATGTGTCCAAGGAATTCCCACGACCCAAGTCGTACCAACGAAAATATAAATTTTGACACGCGAGGTTTTTTGGAGTGCCATTTCGACAATTTTTATTTGACTGCGTTGAAAGTTTAACACAATAAAGAAGATAAATGAAGCAACTAAATTCTGTAAATTTTATTAAAATTTGACAAAATTTGTTCGCGAAACAGCAATTTGGAATTTGAAAATTGTGTTTTTGCTAAAAAAGCGACTTAATTACGTTAAAAATTGGGGACTTACTTTATGAATGTGTATAATTTATTTGTTTCGGTTAAATTAGGACTCGCAGCTTCATGACCAATGATCCTTGGACCAAGGACCTTGATTAAAGTACGAGTATACATTAAAATTCGTGAATATATTTTTTGAATCAAATATATTTGATTCAAAAAAATATATTCACGAATTTTAATGTTTGCATATTGATAAAAAACGGTTTTTACAATATCTCCAAAACAAAGGCTGATTTAGCAAAATTAAAGTTATTTCTGAAATCAGCGCACGAAAATTACCACAGAAAAGTTGTTGGCCATCGTGTGGCAAAATGGTTGCTGATCAATGTAATTATGTAATGTCAATACGTTTCAGATAAACCGATAAAAAGTCTAGGAGCCTTAAATAACAGGACCTTCAAGGCCAGCTGAGCGACATTACAGAAAGAACCTGACCATCAACACAATACTGGATTTTTTTCATTACCCTGTATATATTTTTATATACTTACTGCAGTTTAAAGTATCTAAATCGCCCATGTCTTGTCCCATATACGGACTAATTTTAGAACCATCCCTCCAAGTGCAAAAAGGCCTAAAAACAAGAATTAAACCTTAATTATTAAACCTTAATATATATGTATATCTTCACCTTGATTCAGAAACATTGTAAGGCCCAAAAGCACCGTCTCCGTCACACTTTAAGTATCTAAAGTTAAAACTAGTAACTCCATGATACATTTGTTCTCTTTTCTGAATTTCTTGCGCATATTTTTCACTGTCACATTGTCTAAAATACTGATCACCAAAAGTTCCCGAATCATCTAAAAAATATCACACATGGGTAAAAATTTCTCAAGTGGGCCACCCAAACACCCTCAAGTCAAATTTTTCGTTCAAAATATATTTTTTGGGTAAAGTTTAAGCACCCTCACCAATTTGCCAAATAAATCATTTGAAAATTTTTTGTTGTCTGAACATGGGCGGATTTAGGCATGGGCATTATGGGCTGGAGCCCTGGGCCCCGACCTATCAAGGGCCCCCTACTTGGTAAAGATTTAAAAAGTTTATAAACAAAAAAAGTATTACTTATAAGTAATACTTTTTTTGTTAGATCATTAGACTTATAACAAACTGTTTACTTAAGGTAAAAGTTTTAAAAATAATTATTTATCTATTTACTTTGTTTAATTTTCTTTGGTTAAAGGACTTTGGTCAATGGCATTTATTTTTAAAATTTTCATTAAGCGTAGGTATTATAAAAAATGGTTAACTTAGGTTGCAAAAGGTACTGCCAAATAAATGTTATGATCTTTAAATCTTGTAATCGTGTATGGTTCCAGGTATTTTACGCAGTGTTGCCAGATAAAAAAATTTCATGTCGCCACCAGAGGCGGCGAAAGTCGCCAAAATAAAGTAAAAGTCGCCAGTTTTTTTTAAGTACATTTTTTTGTGAATTTTTACTTGTAAAATAAAAAAATAACTGAACATGTTCAGGCATGATTTTTATTTACACATTTCGTTATTCTGCCGCGAAATTTGAGCGCTACGTTCCGACAATTTCGCATTAACCATCGACATAAAACATATGTTATGTTTTATGTCGATGAACCTATTTATATTATTCCGATCATAGCTTTGGTGAGTCAATGAGAATTATTTTACCCTCCTTGGGTCTAACGCCGGTCTAGCGCCGAAAATCGCTCAAATGGCGACTTGTGATTTTTATAAATTTATGGTCGCCAGTGCAAGTTAAAAATCGCCCAATTTGTGATAAATCGCCCAATCTAGCAGAGTTTGATACATTCATGCGCGAACATATCCAGCAACGAGAGCTGCGGCCAGAGCCTTTTATTTCGTACTTATCAAAAACAGTTTATGAACAAATAATTGAGATTATGGGAAAACAAGTAATAAATAGAATAATAACTGAAATAAATGGTGACGATACAAAGTACTACTCAGTACTTATGGACTCGACACCAGATTTGTCCCATAATGACCAACTAGCTATATAATAAGATATTGTTTAGAGGGAAAAATTTATGAAAGATGTGTATCTTTTATCAACATAATTAGTCATGGTGGTTTGTATTTATTTAATACTTAACAAGAATCTTTAGAAAAAAATGGACTACCACTGGAAAACTGTAGAGGACAGTCTTTTGATAACGCTGCAAATATGTCAGGACGATACAATCTCAAACAAAAAAATAAGTGCGCTGATATAAGTGTGCTGCACATTCCCTAAATCTAGTTGGTGGGGAAGCGGTTAAAGTTGCAACTGAAATTGTAAACTTTTTTGGAGTAGTACAACAAATTTATGTTTTTTTTCTGCATCCACCCATAGGTGGGAATTTCTTTATCGCGAAACAAAACTAAATTTTTCATTAAAAAGTTTAAGTCAAACTAGATGGTCTTGTCACTATGATGCTGTTAGAGCTCTAAAAAATAATTACGGCAAGATTATGAACATTTTAAAAACGTTTAGTGACGGTAAAGACGAAAAGTTTGAATATCGAATAGAATCCCAGAGTTTATTTAATAAATTGGCCAAAATTGAAAATGCAATTTTAAATGTTTTTTGGGAAGAAGTTTTAGAAAGATTTAATTCAGTTAACAAAAAAATACAGACCCCAGGCTTGGACATATGTGAAGGTGAAAAATTAATAAAGTCATTAGAAGTGTTGGTTCATAAAATAAAAGAAAAATCAGATGAGAAATTAAAAGAGTATGAGGAGACAGTTAAACATTTAAGTATTAATATAGAAAAAGAATACTCTGATATAAAAAAGAGACAAATTATTTTAAAATTTTCTGACAAATCTGCAAATAAAGTTTCAATAAATGGAGCAGAAAAATTTAAAAGGGATACTCTGAACGTTGCATTAGATAAGTAAATTGTGGAACTAAAAAAAAGAAGTCATATCTATGAAAAGTTTTGCAAAAGATTTAAATTTTTGATGGATCTACAAGACAAGAACATTAAAAATATTGATTTGGAAAGTGCACGAAATATTGTAAATTATTATTCAGATGACATAGATGAACATTTAGTCAGTGAGTGCATTCAGTTAAAATCATATTTACAATCCAAGCCAGAATCATTCACCTCATGCTATGGAAAACGAAAGAGTAAATTATTTATTAATACTTTTAATTAACTCTGATTTCACTCAAAGTCTGCTATGTGATCAACAGATAAAGGAATTTGCAGAACAAAAATGCCGAAGAGTTACGCTTTAAAATTTAATGTTTTTAAAGTATTAAAAATACAAGGCACCCCGAAGAATTTTTTATGTGAACGCATATTCTTAGGCTTAGTCCATTTAACTGTATAAAGTTAGTTTTGTTTAGTAGCTATTGTTATAGGGATATATCGTTAAAAAGAAAATTTTAAACTCTAGCAAGTTGCTAGTAGCAACTAAACTTTTTATATCTATATAGCTTATTTTGAACAAAAGTATATATACATATACATATGTGGCCTCATATGGTACAGAATTTATCGGGATGCCTTGTATAAATACTAGTAGGTATGTTTTAGTTATATTATTTTTTTTTAAGAATAAGTGTTATTTCTTTCTTGTTTTTTTAATCTAAGAATTTATTTTTGTTTGTTGATAAAAGAAATTCCTTGTGTGTGTCAAAAAATTATTACTTATATAAATATATCCAAGAACGATAATTAAAAAAATGCTGGATAAATTACCCAGGATAATTATAAAAAATCTTTACGACAAAGCCCAAACTTGGATAGGCCCCCAAACAAATATAGCCCAGGGCCCCCAAAGTCAGCGGTCCGCCCCTGTGTCTGAAACATTAACAAAGTTTTTAATTAATATCTCCTAAAGTAATGCGTTGATTTTGAAAATTAAATCACCAATTAATTCAGATTTCAACGTAGTTTCGATAAAAAATGTATAACCTTCAAAATTTGTATGTTTATATATTTTTTATGTTAATATTTTTGAAAAATTGTAAAAAATTTGTAACGAAAAAAATAGTGTATACAAAAGAAACGTTATTAAATAGAATTACGTTCAGAGATGTTGAGTATTTTTAAATCTTTAACGTGCGTTTTAATTATCTGCTGCTAAAATTCTTGTTTTTGTGATGCTGTTGGATGTTAACTTGCTCTATTTTTTTGTTTAACTTGTTGTTTTTGCTTTCGGTAAGGTTCAAGTTACTTTTTAGTGTTCAAATTATTGTAACTGCGTTAACCTGTTCTGTTTGTTTATTATTGTTTTTGTGTTGCGTTAACTTGTTTTGCTTGTGTTTTAGTTTATGTCGTGCCATTTGCATTTATTAAAAGGCGGTGTGGCATATTTGGATGAAATTCGGACAACCAGTCCAAGAAAAACCCTTTAAATAAAAACATTAAATTTCATCGATTCCCGAAAAACTTTGATTTGTGCAAACAGTGGTTAAATGCCACAAAAAGAATAGACAATATTAACGTTAAGACCGCTTCTGTTTCCTCTAAACATTTTCTGGACAGTGACTATAAGTTTAATTTAAAATACCAATTCTTAAACAACAGCCCTAAATGTTATCAAGGACTGAAAGCATCAATATTAAGTTTAATAAACACACACTGTAATATTAACATAAAATATATATAAACATGCAAACTACGTTGAAATCTGAATCAATTGGTGATTTAATTTTAAAAATCAACGTATTAATTTAGGAGAAATTAATTTCTGAAAATAAAAGTGTCTTAAAACTTTGTTAATTAATGTTTGAGACAAAAAAAATCCAAACGAATTCTTTGACAAATCGGGGAGGGTGCTTAAACTTTACCCAAAAAATAAATTTCAAGCAAGAAATTTTTACCCACATGGTAAATTTAACATTCCTTAAACTTAATTCCTGCAGTTTCTACCTTACGTCGCCTTCAGGAGAAAATTGCTTAACTCCATGTTGTAAAATTTTACAGGAGGAAAGAAAAACATATTAAAGGTGTATTGGTGTATCTCCACATTACCGCCAAAAAATTGTTTAATGGAAAATTACGTATCTCCAATATGTACTTTATGTTAATAAAAGTAACCTTAAATTATTCATGGTACCTTAACTTTACACACTATACAATCTTTCATACTTACATACAGAAAAAATAACTAGGCAATAACTTATACTTGTCAATGGCACTGATTTGTATATTGGAGTTAGGCATTATTCCCTGGACGCTCCTCCACGATTGGAGATACGTATATTTCTTTTTCTAAATTTAAAATTAACGGTTTATTTTAGGACTTCTGTAACTTGCATATAAATTAGTTACAGTTTTATCTAACAGATGCCACTAAAATACAATTTTAATGAAAATGTGGAGTTACGTGATTTTCTCCTGAAGGCGACGCTTACTTAGTTTAAAAGTTATTTAACTTACAACAAGGGAGGTGCATAACAGCCCTTATGGGAACCACCGCGGATGTCAAGTCGCCCGTTTTGGGTTCTGCGCACCAGCACTGCGCACCGTCGCATTGCAAAGGTTCAAAGTTACCCATACTGTCACAGTGTAAAAACAAAAAGCTTCTTTTACCTGAAGATAGGATTTCTTCCCGTTTTTTGCTGCAAGCTAAAATATGTTATGAATAAATCTATATTATTTTATTTAAAACATTCATTAATGAATTAATTACCACAAGTCATATCTTTAGAATCTTTATGTAGTGCTTCACCAAATAGTCTCTTTCCGTTTGCATCAAAACAGAAACATCTAAAAAATTTAATTTTTTTAACAGTCATGACGCGGTTGAAAAAATTATATATTATATTATATTTGCAAATGAGCGATTAGTTTTAGTAGCTACTAAATGTTTACCTTCCAGTTTCGCCGCCTTTACACTGTTTTGGAGCCCATGTGCCATCATTTAAGCAGGTGGGCTTAAATTTTTGAGCGCTATAGTAAGTTTTATTGAAATCCATTGTTTGTGCATGATAAGACATACAACTTTCTTTAAACAAATAATAAATTTATTTATTTTATTATTTTACATATTTAGTGCTTACCCGTAATTGGAAAACATTTTTGTTTACACTTTGACAGTTTCCCACAATCCTTGTCAGTTGTGCATTTTTTGTCAACGTTTTCTTAAAAACAAATAGGTACTTAAGTACTGAAATTTCAGTCAAATTAGTTTGGTTATACACTTGGACCACCGAGCGGTAGTCAGTGGTTATACAGAACGTTCTAAATGCTTTCTTGCTAATATACAAATATTATTTAAAATATTAATATTTTAAATAATATTTGGATTATATTATATTTTTATGCTGGTTACCCTTAAACCAAGAAGTTATAACATTGTTGACCAATAGTTGGATATATACCCAACCATTGGTCAACATTGTAATGTTTGCTTGGACTGGTTGCACCTTAAGAGATCTCCTTCTCTTTACCCTCCATAACAACTAGCTGTTTGTATAGTATATACAGTATGTCTCAGTATCTTGGAATCATATGGAAAACTTTTTTATTATTAATTTTAGGAAAAAAAGTTATTCTTCATAAAAAGTTCTGCATGGTGTAAAACTTAAAATGCAACCCACAAATATTATATTTTTTTAGTCGTATACGGGGTATGTCAAAAAATATGAATTTGGCTCAAGAGTAAAGTACCTTATAAATTTATATTTGACAATATCGAAAATCGTTATAAAGAAAAGTTAATCAGAACTAAAAACTACGTTCAAATATGCAATTACATCCATTTACATTTAAAAAAAATATTTTTTCTTTTTTGTCTACAATATTAATGCAAATTTAACTGTAACATGTAATCTAGGATTCACTGATAAACAAATGATTTGTTGATATTCTAAAACTTTTTGGCCTGCTAGATCCCCTGACTTAACTTAAGGTTTTCATGTTTTTTCTAATCATAACAGATAAATGTTCATTTAAAATAGAAAGATTAGTAAAAATTAACAAAACCTAATTTTTTAATGTAAATGTATGAAATTGCATATTTAAACGTAGTTTTTAGTTCTGATTAACTTTTCTTTATAACAATTTTTGATATTGTCAAATATAAAGGTACTTTACTCTTGCGCCAAATTCATATTTTTTGACATACCTCGTATACGACTAAAAAAAATTAATATTTGTGGGTTGCATTTTAAGTTTTACACCATGCAGAACTTTTTATGAAGAATAACTTTTTTTCCTAAAATTAATAATAAAAAAGTTTTCCATATGATTCCAAGATACTGAGACATACTGTATATTAGGGTGGCCCAAAAAAAAAGAATATCTTTTTTTTTCTCGTCTCTTGTAAAAATATGTTAGTTTATTATGCTGTAAGAGCCCTGTCAAAATATCAGCTCGATTAAAAAATTTTTAGGGGTCGCTCAAGATTTTTTAAAATTTTCAAAATCGTCAAAAATTGAATTTTTGTTTTATTTTAATTTTTTTTCTTGTCTCGATATTATTTTTTTGGTAGAAAATAATAAAAATTTTAAAAATATCAAATCAATATTTTAATTTCTAAAGGTCGCTAAAAGTTCGTTGGTATTTATATTCAGAGGTCGCTCGAAATCATTCAAAATACTCTACTTTGAAAGTTAAAAAAATTTTGAGCGACCTTTAGAAATCAAAATATCCATTTGAAATTTTCAGAATCATTATTATTTTTAAATTAAAAAATAATATCGGAACGAGAAAAAAATTAAAATAAAAAAAAATCCAATTTTTGACGATTTTGAAAATTTTTAAAAATCTTGAGCGACCCCTAAAGAATTTTTAATGGAGCTGATCTGTTGACAGGGCTCTTAAAACATGACAAACCAACATATTTTCACAAGAGACAAGAGAAAAAAAATATTCTTATTTTTTTGGGCCACCCTAAAATATATACATGTATGCAAATGGCTTCCAAAGTAAAAGGCTATAGCCTATAGTGTTATGTTTGTTGTTTGGTATACATGTACCGAAACAGACGACAGTGCAAAATAGACTCCGTAGCTGTAAGAAGAGACTTTGATTTTTATTCAAATGATGACTTTTCCCGCCATTTGTGCTACAGTTGACCAGACTCTAGTACAAAATGGAAATTAGCGCCGCTATTGGTAAAAAACGTACTTAATTAGAAAATTGTTTTAATACTTTACGGTTTAATCCTTTTACATTAATAAATATTCATAAAAAAGTATAAGAAATAAAATAAAATGCTCAAACATTGAGATTTTTTTTTATTTTTTATGCTTTTAATAACCTTTCCTACAACGTCACCCTGTATAATATCCTCCCCTATGCGTGGTATACCGTAAAAAAACTACTTACTACTACCATTGCATCTTCTAGTATTTAAATATCCCAAAGGACAAACACCATCGTCAGGTACCTCTAAAAAACAAACCAAATTAAAATATTTTATTAAATTCATATTTACTTTACCTACGGTTATCTGAAGTGGGGTCATATTTTTTACATGTTGGTATGCAAGTTGTACCTTTAAAATAATAGTAAGTAAAACTATTATTTTTACCTTTGTCTATGCAAGTTTTTTGCGAAAATTCAGTTACTAAAGGAAATGAACATGAATCTGATTTAACGTTGTTAAATAACAATAAAAATGACAAAAAACAATATTTTGTATACATTTTTACGAAATACCACTGAAATTACTTGGGTTTAAATAGATTAAATATATTAGATATACTTGGACTATTTTCATTTGATAATATTTTAATCTTAAAAATTATCTATTGATAAAATTAATCCTAAATATTGTGGATTTACAACTAATTTTAGCAACCATTAAAATTACACTATATCGCAAACCATGGGCGTTAGACAATTCTGGGGGGGGCAACTGCCACTCCTGAACTATGCTACTCTCCTAAACCACCCTTTAGAAGCGATACAAAGATTGGTGCATAGTGTATGCCAACCATGGTTTATATTGTGTACTGGTTTTGCAGATTTGGTCCTGGTTTATACCATTTTTTTTATTATTGACGTTATTAGCAATATTCTTTTTTAAAGTATACCATAGTTGGGGCTCAGGTTAAAAATTAATTTACAAATCTGAATTTTTGGGAGTACCCTTAGGATAGTAAAACAAGTATGAGAAATTATGAGTTTTTCACACTTTTAGGATTTGTTCAAATTTTTTTTTTTAATAGTGTGGGATTAGGTTAAAAATTAATTTACAAATCTGAATTTTTAAAAGTAAAAAAGTAAGAAAAAACCTCCTATCAATGTATTTCCCACTTTTTTATTCTAATTATTTTCAAATAAAAAAACAAAATAATCTAAAAACGTGTTTGACAGCTGTTAAAACTACTTAGAGGCCTATTCCCTTTCTTGCTGTTCGTAAACATCGATTTCTTAACATGTATGTTCACCCATGATTGTATCATGTTGTTCACCCAACGACAAGCCAAACATTACCTATGTTTAGGGGTATTCCGTTTCTCATATGTTGAGAGTCTTGACCTTGAATCTTTCTGAACAGCGATAAATGTTTTTAGGACAGGGAGTTTCTTAGTTTTATAACCTAAAAGTTGCAGACTAAACTAAAATTGTATTAGATAATTGTTTTAAACATCATTGGTGATATTTAATATATTAAATGAACTTAAAAACAATTTGGGAAAATCCACAAATTCTAAAAATACCTACTTGGGAAAAACGTTTTATGCTGAACTAGCCAAAGCACAGATCTTCTGGCGGGGCCATTAAGTCCATCCTTATATGGAAAAGGGTAATCATAAAATATCTTAAAATAATTATTTGTTACTTATTTTTACACACTTTTAGTGTATTGAAAATGGGAAGAAAACTACGCATTTCTCACATGGAGACTGGCAATGTCGGGGAGCCAGTAAAACAACTTACAAAATTACTTTAAGGATAAATTACTAGCCCTAATAGAGGAAGCGCTGTGAAAGTTAGTGGTGGAGGGTAAGGTGGAGGTAATACCATCGTTGGAACTCTTCATTGACCAGCCTTTAAGTTCGGTTGGAAGGGTGCCTTCTACAACAGGGACGCATAAAGAGAAAGTCCAACTCAAACTCTGACGAGTAGTGAAGGTGTAGAGGTTTTACAAGGTATTGATAAAACCTAAAAGATTTTAAAATTAAACCAAAAAGTTTTAGCTCCCATGTGAAGAAAAATAGTTTTTAGATGCATATTTTTTTGTATTTTATTAGTTATACTTTTCTTTGACTAATATTTTGTCTATATTTTTGAGTAATAATATTACATAGGTATTTGATATTTTATATTTGTTGTATTTTTTTAATAAAATATATTTTTCCAAGTTATTTTTTATTCTACCAATAAGTATATATATATATATAGTTTTAGAGGTCGTTTTTAGACACTCTTGTAACATATAAGTCTTGACCTTCCTCCCCCCAAATTCTCTCTTCACACTCAGATTTTTTTAATTTTCTGTTTTTCTCTAAATAAATATTTATTATTATAATAAAATTATATAAAAAAAATAGTGAAGCAAAATTTGTATTCTGGTATTATAATTAGGAAATACATTTTAATAATTAAAAAACAAATCAAACATAAGTAGGTATTTTTAAAATTAACAAAAAATATATTATTATTTGTTTGGTGTAAAACCTTATATGATTATTTAATTATTTATCATTTATAATTATAATTAATTAGGTATTAATTATGAAAAAGTAATTAATTTATAATTACTATGCTTGATAATGATACTGTACCAAACATCGCCGCAATTTATGATTAATGCAAGATAAAAAACCTTAAATATTGATAAAAAACCTTAAATATTGTCTATAACAGCACCTCTTAGGCAAGCGTTCGTAAACATACGTTTTCAAACATCATGTATGTTCACCAAACATCGAATTTTGGAAACGGAATAGCCATTTTAACACCGATGATGTTTATAAACATGGATGTTTAAGAAATTCTTCGAGCGCATGCGTCTATAGACGAAATAATTGAAAGACCTATCCCATAAAACGGACTTTTGGATAGCGCGTGCGTGAAAAGGCAGGTCGTCTTTTTTTAATTATATAAAAGAGAAAGAGATACCACTCTTCTTCAGGCACGCGCTATCCAAAAGTCTGTTTTATGAGATAGGTCTCATATGTTACGAAACATATGTAGTTCATGAACATGCATGTTTAGCGAAAGGGAATAGGCCTCTTACTTACTTTCACCCACAATCCACACAACAAGGTCTGTTCTATCTCATGCTAAAAATACTAAAAATCACTGCAACACTGCACAGAGTTTAACGGCGGCCATTTTTGTTGTTTACAATATTTATAGTTCAAAAGTGAAATTACGACCTCTATACTCTATATTCTTTTTCTATGCTCTATACTGTGGAGAGTATTGAAACGATCGACTGACGAATACAAATCTATACCGTGGGGAGATTTAGTAGAGGTAGCGCGCTAGTGGTAAAAAGTAGACTATCGATAGTGAGAAAAGCGACTATCGATACTATCGATTAACTATCGATAGTTTACTAAAATTTTAAAACCATTTTATTAAAAAAATATGGGGTTTCTTTTTATAGTAGGGACATTTTCAACCTACCAAATACAGGAGAGTCAAAAATATAGTATAGTAAATGGAGCCTACACAAGGAGAGAACTTCATGTAAACAAGAATCTTCCTAAGATAAGAGGGCGCTGGTTTTCCCTTTATTCTGAAACAATTGACTAATTTGTACCGAAACGCTACCAAAAGAGCAGACGTCATTACGCATCGACAATCAGCGCCGCTGGTGGTGAGTTTACCGTTGGTAAATCTAGAGTCCCTAGATTTTGCCAACTAAACCCCCAAATTTTTAATGACGTCAAATTCCGAATAAGAAAAACAACGATAGTTATAATAATTTTTTTTGATTCTACTATCGTTAGACGATAGTTTGCAACTATCGATAGAATCGATAACTCGATAGTTTTTAAAATATCGAAACTATCGATAGACTATCGATAATATCGCTACCTCTAAGATTTAGAAAACCATATTCAAACGTGGTGTCATCCTATACACCTCTATAATTTTCCGTTTGCTGTGTTAATGTTGTCCAATGGTGAATACCTAATGTGAAAACCTAATGTGAAAATAATGTGTGATGTAATATTTATAAAACCAAATTCTTTACTTTTTTATAAGGCGATGTACTTTTTCTTCCATTGTGGCATTTCATCAAAATGAAGTTTTGCCCTCAAAAGGGCTTTTACATTCGAATTCGTTGCTATTATTTATGGCATAATTATCTTAAATTTATAATTGACAAGAAAATTATCAATAATAAATATTATTGTCAATTTGACAGTGTCAAAGTATTTAATTAAATTCTTTAGCAGAAGTACCATTTTTACCATTTAAAAAATACCAAGTCAAACTGGCATAAGCCACCAACCTAACAAAAAAACACGAGTCCAGATAAAAAAAATGAATTTAAAAATCTGAATTTTTGGGAGTACCTTCAGGATAATTTTTTTATTGACGTTATTAGCACATCTTTTTTTAAACTAATGTCCTGGATTTTTATTTCAGAAATTTGGTCACCTTATGCATAGACATAAATTGGTGGTTTTCTAGGGTTAAAACGTAAACCTGGTTGCATAACAAATTATTTTTTTTTTGCTGGCAACAACAATTACGTTATGTTGGCAACATTGTTTATACAATCTAACCTCAACTTGACACGTTTAAAAACATTCCGTTTTTATTTGTTTTGTCAATTTTCGCTATGCCATGTCCGTAATTACAGAGATTTATAACAATAATAATTGTAATCCGGTGTTAGGTAACAATTGTTCCTAATTAAAATAAACTTTGATTAATTTTTAAATATTTTTAGTTGAGTTTCAAAATGGCAAGTTTAATCCTGGAGAGGAGCACAATTTAAAGTCAGGATTGTATAAAACTAAGAGTAATAAAGTTGTTGTGGGCATAGAAAGCCAAAAAATAGCATACACTGGAATAGTTAGCGATACCAAATTGTACAATGATTATATTGTAATTCATAATAAAAGAACAAAAAAAGTGAGTGAGTTTATACAGTGTCTAGGTACCATAGATTCCTTAACTCAAAATAAATTGATTTATCACAAATTACTTCTATTTCAAGTGACCATAGAATCTATGGTATTTTGTTGTTTACATATTTTTCAGACACCCTGTACTTTTATTAATTTTTAATATAGTGTAGGTTAGTGCCTGTAGACTTTGCTACATTACAACCACAGTTAAAAAAGAAAAGGGATTTACTAGATGTGACTTCGTCAGCTCTAGATACATCAATCTCCGATCTAAACAAACAGTTTGGTTCTAAAAAAACAATAAGAATCACTGAGCAGCATGAAAGACTTAAAATGAATATTGATAGTGTTAAAGAGGACCTAGAAAAAACTGTAGCAGATATAGAAGTTGATTTTAGCAATCAAAATAAAGAAGATGATGATGGTGTTTATCGGCCTAAAATAAATAGAGGGGCATCTGTAAAAGAGGATGTTTATAATTTTGAGGATATTTTGCCTTCTAAAATTTTGGATTCTATGGATGCAGAAGTTGATCATGTAATGAAAAATTTGGAATCTATAGAAGACTTAAAGTAAGATTTTTGTTTATGAAAAAGAATGCATACCACTGACTCTTCTCCTTTTATCCACACATTATTGTATGCATAAAGTTACTTTTGTATATTTTTCGTAATAAAACAGTGGTGTACATTTTTTAATGGTAATTTACCAAGAACTAGACTACATAATGTGTTTTCTAAATGCAAATGCATCATTTTGGAATAGTAAGACAAAAAACGTTTGTGTTTTATATAAAATAAAAAAGTAGTTTTATAAATAAATAAATCGTTTATTAGCAAAAACTATACAAATTACATTTCATAAGTAAATATCTACATATAAGACCCAGCAAACCAAATCATGTCACAGTGATATAACATTTACATAAAAATTGTTCCTTACATAATAAAAATAATAAATAAATAAATAAAAATATGGAATTTGCATAAAATTAATTGTCACAACAATTATAATAAAAAAGTGTATCCATCTTATTTAGCAAAATTATTGTATCCTTTACCAGTTGAAAAAACAGTATAAGTTAAAAATTTATAGATATTAAACTCTTATTTTGGCTACCAAACATCATTGAATTATAATTTGTCGCTTGTTTTTTTAGCACCCTGTTTTAAAAACAAATTAACACGTTCGCTGCGGAAGTTATTTTTAAAGTATATTTCTGGGTGCGTTACGGGTCAGAACTGCCCCGTATTAGTTTTGCACAGAGTGCGTTACGGGGTATATGTGTCCCGTATGCAATGTGTTGCATTTTTATTAGTAACTTAGTACATGCTTAAAGTAGTGAGGAGTTAAGTTGGCAAAGTAATGTGTTTTTATTGTTCTGAAGATTCTGAATTTTTTTTTGAATTCTATTTATTATAGTCAATTTACAGAATTTAATTATTTTTATTTAAAAAAGTTATTTTTTTGTGAAAAATATTAATTGTATGACATAAAATTAGAATTAAAACAAAAACCTTCACTTTTTTTCACATTTTTTGATTAATTTTATAGCCAAGACACTTAGGTAATGCGCAGATCATCAAAAGTCACTGCTTGACGATGAATCCCGTACCGCACACAGTGAGAAATTTATCATCCAGTGCGTTACGGGCCGTATATATCCCGTATTATTTTTGGGGCGAATAAAATTAACAATCAAGTATGGATTCGATATGTACCAATAACATTTAAATATCTTTAAAGTTGACTGAGTTATTGCTTCCGCATTTTAAGAAGGATATGCTTTATTTTATGCCGCACGGCAGGAGAATGCGTTACGGGGTCGTATCGACCCCGTAACGCAGCGAACGTGTTACACGGTGCTGTTCTGAGAGGGGATTTTTGGACTTTCTGTGAAACCTAATTTTTTTTTATATTCTTGTTAATTAGGTCATAACTAAAATTTTAAGAGCAAAATAAAAAAAATTTGACGGTTTGAATTGTTTTAATTGGCTGTTTTTTAAAAATATTATGCACTCTTTCAATTATCCAATTAAAACTAGCGATTTAATTTAAATATTTAATGTTTGCATAACTAAAAAAAAAGGTTTTTACAATTTTTTTTATAAATTTTACTGTTTTGTTGCAATAAACGTTCAAACTTTTAATCTAACCTTTGACGTATACATTTATGTTCCCTTAATTAATAAATCCTTAAAGGTTGCCATGAAACTTAGATCTATTAAAAATTTATTTGATGTTTGAATTGTCATATTCAGTATATGTAGGTATTCTATAATTTTTGTTTAGTTTTTTAAGTGTTTTTTATAAACAAAAATGAAAAATTGTAGTAAAAGTTACGAAGAAATTCATGAAATTTAACTAAGGACCGGTTTATTCATCTTTAGTAAAGTTTATCGGGCCGATAACTTTTATGTCTTGGCAATATCTAGTATCCAAAGAAATTATTCGTCAAATAAATCAAAAATGAATAAATCGGCCCTAAATAAAATGTGGCACCCTTAGAATTATTGTTTAATAAATGTATACTATACATTTAACCTTAAATTAAAACTTTAAACGTGTATTACAACAAAACAGTAAAAGATATAAAAAATGTATAGACCTTTTTTTTAGGAAATTAACTAATCTTTAATCTGATTTAAAAAGTTATGATAATATTTAAATAAAATCGCAAGTTTTAATTGGAGAATTGAAAGTGTGCATACATATTTTTAATAAACATCCAATTAAAACAAAATTAACCGTCAAATTTTTTTATTTTGCTCTTAAAATTTTAGTTATGACCTAATTAACAAGAATATAAAAAAAATTAGGTTTCTCAGAAAGTCCAAAAATCACCTCTCAGAACAGCACCGTGGTTAACATTATCAAACAGGTTTAAAATCGCCCTTTATATACTTACAAATTCAGCCTCTACTTTTTTTTGCAATAATGTTTTCTCAAAACTTTTAACAGATCATTAATAAAAAGTACTAGGTACTAGGTAAGTATCTATTACACAAATTTTGCAAATCTTCCACAAAAGTATGGGAATTTTCCCTACGACCTCCTGAATATTCTCCCAAATTTTCTGTAAAAATATTTTTACTGAGCTGTTTATTTATTGGCTGGTTAGGGGAAGATAATACTTCGGTTTTAGCCTCAGTATATTCTGGCAAAGGTACACTTTCCACATTGTCTTGGGTATTTTGTATAAAATTTCTTACCTCCACGCCCATTATTTTAAGATCTGCATTAATTCTCCTCCGCTTTTGCCTTCGGGATAGGAAAATATATTTTTTTCTATTTTTTTGTTCCATTTTATTATAAAACAATGGAATCAAATTTAACTCGACTTAAAACACAATAGAGAGCACTGGACACAACCGTTTAAACGAGTTAGTTAGTAAGATAAAAAGGCTATATAAATACTATAAAACATTAATATATAACATTTATGTATCATTGTTACAATGTAGTTATACATTTGTATAAAACATTGTTACAAAGCCAAGACATAGTAGGGATGTAAATATAACAATAACATAACTATTATATTAAAATGTTTTATTATAATTGTGTAACAAAATAAAGAAAAACTATGTAAATATTATTATTATTAATATTATTATTATATTATATGGCTGATACATAAGGGGGATGTAAATATAACAAGAGGGGAACATATTTATATAAATGTTATATTACTATGTTTTATCATAATTATGAAACAAAATAAAGAACTAATATGTAAATGTTATGTAAACAATTTTATATGGCAATGTTCTTTGTTAGTTATATCATGGCTATGTAAATGGAACATCCTGGTTTTCTGGGGAAGGTACTATCCAAAATTAAACATTTGTTAAAATAATAGTAAAAATTATCTTATATTTTATTAATATGCAGTTGTCAGAGTTTAGAAAACATTATGCAGGCTTGCTTTTGATAAAAAATCCATTTGACTAAAATTTAAATAGATGAGACTAAAAGTTTCTTTTTTACAGCAGTGTTCTTTTTAATTTTTTTACATTTTATTATTTTTTTAAACTTATAACCATATGCCTAATTAAATTATTTTTCTATGGCATTTTTTAAAAACTTAGAAAAGTATAGTCTGAAACACATTTAAATTACTATTGCATATTTCGCTCTCGTGAAACCGTCAAACTCGCCTTCAGCTCGTGTGATAAACTTTTCACTAAAACTTGTTACAGAATATAGGTACTATTATTATAAATTATTAAATAGAAAACATGCTTTTGAAGAGAATTCTGTAGAATCTATACAGTACAACATAACAGCTGATTAAATAAAAACAATTTAAGAATATTTTTTGTAGTGGACTTAAGTCAGGTTTTTAATTTAGACGCCTGATATGAAAACTAGTTTTTTCTTAAATAATATACGTTTTTTAGGTTCAGACCTTTTGTAGCATATTGCTTGCAAAAATTGAGGGAGTTAAAAATATCCGACGAAAAAAGAAAGGATAAAATAAAAATTTTGACGTATATTCATTATTTGCTGCATTTTTTCTCGATTCCAATCAAGAATTTGCCAAAAAAGATCTCAATTTGTGAAAATAATAAGGACATTAATTTTCATATTTTGGACAATTTTTCCAGCGTTTCTATGCAAAAAAGGTAAAATAAATAACTGCATTTAACATGTTTTGCAAAAACTAATAATATTTTTTTAGACATAGATCATTGTCAATGAAAACTAAGGCTGTTTGCTATGCTTTAGTTTTGACACTTTTTGCAATGGACTATGAAGTAAACATTGAAGAATTATCAAAGGACATCAAAATGGGCATAAAAAAAATCCAAGAAATCGGAAGGGTTTTAGCTTTATCGCAAGGCAAAGACAAAAATTATCTGACCTTAAAATTACCTTTACCTGCTGTTGTACAAATGTCTGCTAAAAGAAAGAGAAAATAAAGGATATTTTTTGTGTTTTAATAAAACAATTTTTTAATAAATTAAACATTTAATATTATTACATTAGGTACCTTTGGTATTCATGTAAAATCCTGGGAAATAAAAATTTACAAAGCAGTTCAATTCTAAAAAATATACACATACATAATAGTAGTTAATTTTTCTTAACATACCTATACTTTTATGCCATAAGAGGCAATTTCTGTTTAATATAAAAGATTTTTAATTCCAGTTATGCGCACTCTCGCGGCATAAAACCTAAATAAACAAGCATCGTTAAATTGATACATATTATAGGTATTTTAAAAAATTGCAGGTAATTTTTTTGGTCAATATTAAAAATAACTTAATATTTCCCTTTATAGAAAAAAAAACATAAAAAACTTAATTTTTTTTAAATGCATTATTACAAATTTTTAAAAAACCTGCACAGCTATTCATGAGATGTTTGAGATCTAAAAGAAAAAACTGAAGGTACACACAGGTAAAATTAATGTTAACATTATATTCACATGGACCTTAATTTTAAATGTGAGCATCATGAAGTCCTACACAAGGAGTATGAACTTCACATATACAAATACCTAATTTCCCATAATAAAAGGGCGCTGGTGTTTTTGGGTTTCTGGGATTTTTATTCAAAGGTTTGGTTTGTGCTGAAACAGTACCAAACAGCAGACGTCAGTACAAAATGGAAATTAGGGCCGCTAGTGGTAAAAAAGAACAGGTAGTTTGTGCTATTTGGTGGGCAATCTCTGTCAATTCCCCCTAATAAGTTCGGACTCCTCACAAAATGATTTCTTTCTCACACCATAAGCTTAGGTGATAAACAAATGAGCAAAATGCATGAGAAATCACGGTGTAAGGTAAGCTGAGAAAAATCTGAACTCAGGCTTGCTGTGCGGGGTTATTTCAACGTAAAATTTATAGGCAAATGTCTTTGGGGGAGTTTTTAACCAATTGAAATTCTGATTTATGAAAATACCTACATATTAAAAAAACAAATAGTAGAAGTATGTTTAAAAAAATTTAACCACCCACTCAAAGTATTTAATACATAAAACCCTGAATATTAATATTATACACTATCAATACTGTAAAACCAGAAAATTATGAAAACATATACAGGGTGTTCAATCAGGAAAAATTAATTGCTACAAATCCTGATAACTTAACTGTATATCTAGCGAATCGGTGGATCATCATCATCCAAATCCTGTCCAATCATGAACTCATCATAGTTGCTGTTCCTTTGATTGATTTTCTGTCTTATCCAGTCCAAAACATCATACCTTCGACTAATGTAAACCCCTGATATCACAATGAGTATTAAACACAAAGGTATCACTATACCAGCTACAAGTGACCCATTACCATTGTTATAGACTAGACTTGAGTAATTTGGGGCAGAGTTATTTCTTTGTATGCAAAAAGTGTCATTTAATCTTGTGTAGCCTGGAAGGCAGGTGCATTTTTTGTTCTCATTACAGTATTCTGATTCTGAACAATCGTGAGTTACCGCGTCTGTAGTGTTACATATTCTTTCGGCTTAAAAAATTATAAAAAAAACTATATTTTTGTTGTTTATAGCAAAATTAAAACTTACCCAATAATGGTGTAATAAAAATAAAAATCCACAATAACAAATCATTCCTTGTTATCTTTAACATTGTTTCCATCACATCTCTGCCTTGCATCCAATTTATTTGTGATAATTATTTATAATATTCATACTGATAACTTATCAATGTATTTATTTATTTATTACAATGTATTTAAAAGGGAAATCCTAAACCACTACACTTCACCGCTCTCTCTATTTGTTGCTTTTTAACTAGATAATTGATTTCATACCAGAAATTATAAATTATAGCACTTATTCAATTTATTTTTATGAATTTAATTTGAACAAGTCATTCCACAGGAACAAAAACAAACACCGCTATCGGACGGTAAAACAGAGCACTATTATGACATCTGTCAAAAAACATAACCTACAAACATAAACAAGATACATAATGTCTAGAGTCCCGTCAGACGGGTCTCCATTGCGCTCCCGTTAAAACTTTGTGACGTCACACACTGTATATAGGTATTATTTTTCGAGCGATAAGGTTATTACAATAAGCTCGGTAGCTCGATGGAAGGGCGCCTGCTTTGCATGCGAGAGGTACGGGGTTCGATACTTAGCGCCTCCAACTTTTTTTAATTTTTTTTTTAAGAATTTATATACCGAAATAATACAATGTGGCCTTAAAAGCATTTATATTGAATTTTACATTAATATTTTAATTTATTTACCTTTCCTCATAATCATTTTGCTTGTTATATAATATAAAATGTAATTAAATAAATATTCCTTCGTTGAAAAATTTTTACTCAATGGGGCGGGGGGGGGGGGCAATGGGGCGGGGTCGGTTGGGTTGTGTTGTTAAGTTTGGGTTGGTTTGGGTTGTTTTCTCTCATTTTTGGCCATTTGACCAATGGGGCGGGGGGGGGCCAATGGGGCGGGGTCGGTTGGGTTGGGTTGTTGGGTTTGGGTTGGTTTCGAAGCGGGCGGACTCGGGACGTTAGTTAAGGAAAAAAGATCTGCTTCCCGTCCTAAGATTGCGTCATTGGATGACGTCACTCTGTTAACGGGAGCGCAATCAGTGTTGCCAATGTACGTGGAAATCCACGCATTGTGTGGAATTTATTTTGTTGTGTGTAATTTGTGTGTAATACATAAATGTGTGGAATTTGCGTGTAAACTTTATCTTTAAATTAACAATGCTTATAACAAGCATTTAAATAGATATATGTATTTGCAAATGCGCATTTTAGTTATATGGACGAATTTCTGTGCAGATTTCTATATATACAGCAAATTAAAAAAATCTGGTGTTTTTGGAAAACCGGTTATAACAATAGACTATTTGACAAAGTAAGTAATCTAGTAAGTTTTTGAAAACGTCTTTAATCACCAGTAATTACCGCAGAAAGAGTTTTTGTGGTGATTCACCTAAAAAACTCTTTCTGCGGTATATATTATAATCACCAAAGAAACCTAACAAAACCAAAATCCCAAATGTGTGGAATAGTTGTCAAAATTGTGGAATTTTGACAGAATCTGTGTGTAAATTATGTCAACACCATTGGCAACACTGAGCGCAATAGAGACCCGTCTGACGGGACTCTAGACACGGCGAACAAGATAACCCAAAATTTTAAGTGCTGAAATTTGAAAATCTTTATTTTATTGATTGAGAATGGCCACGTTGAAGTGTGAAATATTAAATAACGATGAAAAAATAAAAGAATTCTCCGAAAATATTAATACAAACGATTGGAGTTCATACAGAAATACTTTGGATGAATTCAAAATTCATATCAATGAGTATTTAACTTCGATAATAAAGGAAGGTATATAATTTAATATAATTCGTAATTATTATGGGTAATATTTTAAATTTTAGGACAAAGAAATGATGATGACACAGCAAGTCCAAAAAGAAGTTTAAAAAATAAATCAAACTCTCATCCAAAAAGACAAAAATCCAATGTAAATTAATAACATTCTATTTTACATTACATACCTATTACATTAGTGTAAATATTAGTGAGATTTATAAATATGTAAAAATAAATAGATAAATAAAATAAATAAATAAAGAACTGAATATGCATTAATACCTAATAAATAAATAGGTAGGTATATTATTTGAGTTGCAAAGGTGGTCTGTGGAGTTGAATATATTTCCTTTTAAATCTTTGTTTAATTTAAGCTGGGTTCTATAATCTATTCCATTTTTCCAACTTATATTTTTCAGTTATAAACTAGCCAAAACGATCATTCACAATGCGCAAAATTAACATCTAAAATTAAGGGAATTTGCTAAGAGATTGTCCATTCTTCTTAACCTGACATAAACAATATTAATTATATTACAATAATATTTTTTACAACCATTACAATAATCTTTATAATATAAATATTATTGTAATGGTTGTAAAAAATATTTTAATATAATTAATATTGTTTATATTATTATAACTTTTCCTTTACTGGCAAATCTTCAAACTTTTTGCTTTTGACATGCGCAAAGCCGCTTTCCAATTATAATTAGTGGTAAAAGGGTTTTAATAAAAAGACAAAATATGAAAAAAAAAATATATAAAATAAAGACATTTACAATTTAAATTTTTTAGGAGACAAGGTAATTTGTTTATTAGTTTTCTTTTTCTGTGTTTTATTGCTAATATGTGTTTGTACTTCTTCCTGAAGTTGAGTGAAGAAAGCTGTTGAAGATTTGACACTTTTAGAACCTTTAGATTCATCCATCTTCTTAGTATTAGTATTTTTAGTGATTTTATCCAATAACTTCTTATTTTTTTCTTTGGACAATTTAAACTGTGGATTATTTTTACTCTTTTCATTTTCCTTTTTGTCTTTCTCTTGTGCATGATATTTTTGCTTTTGCTTTTTCTTTCTACGCTCCCTATTCTTATCAGTATCAGTTTTTTCCGTTTTACCAAGAACTTCACCTCTAATTTTGTTCCTGACTTCTTCTGGCGCTAAAAGAGCCCCATCGCTTACAGAAACAGGTGCTACCTCCTCCATGCTTATTGCAGGAAGATTACTAACTATTTTAAGTTCAGGAATTGCTGGTTTTGGAGTAAAGTGGAAGTTAGATAAAGCATCCAGTTTATTGAAGAGAGTGCTCATTAGTGATCTGATTTCTTTGTGTTCCAGGGATTCTTCTTCATCTTTGTTGGCATTGTTTGTATCTAAAGCAGCCTGTTGGTCTAAAAATTCCTTTTCGTAGATTTGCGCCAAAGATTCTTTACTTTTTTCTTGATCCAATACAAGTTTTTTCTTGTATTCCAATGGAGTTTCAATGGGTTTGGCTTTCCTTTCCACACTATCAAATGCTTTATCTTTTATTCTTTGTTTTATTATATCTTCTAATTGAAGGGTTGTTTGTTCTGTTATTATGGGTGCAGGTCTGGTTGATATATCAAACTCCACTATTTCTTCTAAAAGTGAGTTTTGAGGTCTTTTTTCTGCAGTTATTTCACCCTTTAATTGCCAAGGTTTTTCACTTACAGCATTTTCTTCCAATTCTTCAATTCTTCTATTCAGCCTCTCTTGTCTTAATTCCAGTGAAGATTTGGGTATATTATTGGGTACCTCTCTATCTTCACGATCTTCATCATCTTCACTGTTTAAATCTTCAAGAAATTTGTTTCTTTTAGTAACCTTCTTTTCTTCATCCTTTTGTACAAAGAAGTCCTTAAACTTTGCTGTTTTCATGGGATCTTCCTCATCACTTATATTCTCAAACAAATCAACACTCCCTTCTTCATCATCCGACTCTTCAGAATCATGTCCTGAATCAGGATCATTCATTTTTTTTTCTTCAGAAACTAAGAATTTCTCCATTTCATCTAACTTAAAGAAATCATCATCCACTACTGATTTCTTTATAAATTTATTTGTGGATGATAAAGATTCTTGATTTACTTCATCTGAATCATCACTTTCTTCATCTAGAAGATTTTTATTTAAGTCTATTTCATCATCATCATCATCTGATGAATCAGTTTTTTCTTCATTTTCATTGTTTTCTTCATTAGCCTCTTCTTCATTTTCACTTAACTCCAACTCCTTGCACTTATCTTCCAAGTTTTTAAACAGTAATTTCTCTTTATTCACTAAAACCTTGCTGACATTGTTTAAAGATCGTGTTAAAACTGAATCATTTTGTAGCTCTAATTGCTGCCAAATTTGCTCCAAATCAAAGTGTTTTATAATTAATTCAGGCAAAGAGTTTGATTTTGTTGACTTAATTTCCTCACTTTTCGCTGTGTCATATGCATTCTTTAGATTATTTTTCAGTGAAGTCACTAAATCATTGTCAACGCTAAAAAGTAAAAAAAAACGTTAAGAAATTTAATTTATTATATATGTTACGGCTAATGTGCAAACTTGGATAGTTTCTAAACTAGCTGGATAGTTTATAAACTAGCCAAACTGTCAGCTATTTTAATTAAAAATGTATTTTCAACTAAATTAGCGGCTAGTTTACAAACTAGCTAAAGCTTGGCTATTTTGTGTTACTAGAAATTTTGGTTTTTATATTAGCCAAAATGAATTGGATAGTATACAAACTATCCAGCTATTTTAGTTTCCCTAATAATTTCAAGTAAATTAGCCAAGATACTTGGTTATTTTGCAAACTAGCCGCTAATTTAGTTAAAAATATGTTTTCAATTAAAATAGCTGACAGTTTGGCTAGTTTATAAACTATCCAGCTAGTTTATAAACTATCCAAGTTTGCACATTAGCCATAACATATATATTTAAAAGTACGTACTTTAAAAAACTCTCGGGTTTTTTGGTCACTTCTTTGAAATCCTCTACAAGGGTGTCAAAATTGTTTACAGATCTCATCGTCATTTTCGGTTTTATTAAAATAAATCACAATAATAAACGCATGTTCAACATTAAATTATTGAGGTTATCTATGGTTTATGTCAAGTTATCAATGTTCCCAACAGACTATTCTTAAAAGTCACTAGATTTACAATGAACGCCACCACCTTTTAAAAAATTTGTAATCTTGGTTGCCTACAGGAGCAGTTTTGCCAACATAAGAATTTATATGGTTTGTAACATCTAAATCGGTTGGTATTACCACCACTAGGTGATATTTATTTTATCTCTGTATTTTACATTTGTCAATTCTTGTAAAAATTTGTTGTCGGCGTTAGAAAGTGATTTTTCAGTGAATTTGAGATTCAATTGAATTTTTTCCACGGTTTTTAAGCGTTTTTACGTTATCTTTAAATAATTTTCTTGTTTTTATACTTTTAGGTAAGTAATACTACAGTTTTAATGAATTTTACAGAGATAACCTCAAATATTCAATGACTTGTAATTTTATAGAGCAAAGATTAGAAAAATGCCTGCTGGAGGTGCTTTATTTGGAAGTTCTGCCGCTGGACCGGGCTCAACTGGCGGAAATAAGCATTTAGTTGAAATGAGGGCCGGAAAAATGAATTTAAAAGGTTAAACATTTTTTTTATAATTTATATCACTCTAAAGTTGTATCTTATTTCTTAGGTCGCATGGTTTACCCTGACAAACGTAAGGGTTTATTGTACATTTATCAGAGTGAAGACTCTCTTATGCATTTCTGCTGGCAAGATCGCAGCACAGGAAATGTGGAAGATGACCTAATTATCTTTCCTGATGATTGTGAATATGTTAAGGTGCCCCAATGCACAACTGGACGCGCGTATTTATTGAAATTTAAGTCCTCAAACAGGAAATTCTTTTTCTGGCTTCAAGAGCCCAGGGCTGATAAGGATGAGGAAAATTGCAAGAGAATCAATGAATTGTTGAACAACCCTTCTAGTGCAGTGCAATCATCCCAAAATCCTGATCAGGATTTGCAGTCATTATTGAACAATATGTCTCAGTCTCAGTTGATCCAGTTGTTTGGTAGTGGAGTTGGACAAATGGGGGGACTGTCCAGTTTGTTGGGAACTATAAGGTAAGAATGGTAAATGTATGCATTTAAAAGAATAATTTACTTTTACATATTATAAAATCAAAGTTTAGCAGGCGAAAACTAACTTAATAATAATTAAGGTTTTTAGAAAATAAATTTGTTTAGAATTCCAACTGAACTCAGTGATTCCAGTCTAAAAAATTATGTATTGTCTTGAGATAGCCAAAGTGCTTGAAATTTAAAAATCCTAGTTGGGCTTACACACAAAAATATATTAAATGAACTAAATGTTTTAGAGATAATAGTCATTATCATTTAAATGCTTCTAAAATGTTTTTACATTTAGACGTCCAACTTTTTATATTTATACAATATTTTTCACAACATTTGTAAAACCTTTTTGTTAATGTTTTAGATATATTACTTTATATTTTATTAATGTTTCCTCAACATCAAAAAAATATCTGGAAATATTTTCAAAATATTTACAGTTCATTGCATATTTATTTTAACAATGTTGTAAATGTTGATATACATATTTATAAAAGCTGTGTGACACCCAATACTTTTTGTATACTGAATTTTCTTGTTTTGTATTCAAAAAGTAGATTCTCATATCATATACTAAAACAGTGGAATACCATAGCTGGAGATCTATTTTTTGCACGCAAAAAATACAAAAAAATATAGTAAAGAAGTTTATTTTACTAATAATTGATATAGATAAAAGTAAAATCATATTTATTATGTAAAACAAAAATTCTTTGGAAAAAATCACAGAAATAAAACGCAAAAGTCCTGACAACATTTTTAAAACATTGTGTTATGTGAGTAAAAACATTACAACATTCAGAACTAGGGGTTAGTCACCTACCACATTGAGTTAAATAGAAATATTATTTAGTCTATTATACAGTGTGTCCGTTTTTCGAGGCGGTCTTCAAAGCTAACAAAAATATTCTGGCATATTTGAATTCTCCCTGAGAAAGTGCCTTAAAGTTGTCTGAATTAAATAAAATTGTTTTTTAAATAAAAATTACAAATTCCCTTTTTTTACGATATCTTGAAAACTAAAAATGATAATTCATTAATTGGCATAAAAATGCGCAACTTTTTCCTAAATCAATCAACAATGTATCTAAACGAGATATTCTTAGCCTTTAAAAACGGGCACCATGTATAATGTATTATACTTATTTTATTTAGCAATGTGATCTTATCTCAGATCAGAAGTTGCAATGCAGTGAAACAATATTTAATACACAATCCACACAACAAGGTCTGTTAAAAATACTAAAAATCACTGCAACACTGCACATCAGTATGTTGGATGCATGTATCAAACATGTACCACACAATTGCTGGTATGGACATGTATGAGCATATGTACATATGTTATAATAAGAATAGCATAAGTGTGTTTGTTTAATAAGTTTATTTATTTTGTTAGTATATCTCGTATATCTGTGACTAAAATGTGATAATTATAAATGTGATAATAATAATAATAATAATAATAATAATATATATTTCAACATCAACAGGCAATGCCCAATTACAGATGAGGATAAAATCCAAATACACATAATATTACATTAAATTAATAATTATAGTAATAACTTTCTCCTAAGCGAGTCTTACATTTAATCTATTATTTATATTTAGACTAATACATTTTTTCCTAAAAGCTTTAAAACTGCCATAAAAAAAGTCTATTTCCCTCGAAACCATGTTACCATAGTAGCTGAAGAGGTACAAGGGTGATGTCATATACACATTTACTCTTGAGCTTGGGATAAAAAATATATCATTATTTCTAGTTAAATTGTTAACTTTAAATTTTATGTGTGATAATAAGTAACTATTATCTAATTCGTTATGTAGCAACTTGTATAACGTAAATATAATGGCTGTAATCCTTCTTGATTCTAGTGTTCTGTATAGATAAATATTGCATAAGTCTGAATAGTTAGCAAAATTGTCATACACACCATACTCCTTATATTTAAGATATTTTAAAAATCTTTTTTGAACTTTTTCCACTGCATTAATATAACAACTATAATAGGGATACCACACAATAGACCCATATTCCATCCTCGAACGCACTATGGAATTGTATAGCACTTTAATGCTGTTGTTATCAATAAAGTCTCGCGTATTCCGCACAATAAAACCAAGTTTTGATAATGAAGAGTTAATCATTATATTTATATGTTCTTTAAAAGTAAGTTGATTGTCCACAATTAATCCTAGGTCTTTAAATTTGTCCACTTTTTTTAGTTTTGTCCTATTTATGTAATAATCTTGGTTAATAGCACGCATTTTTTTTGTTATTGTCATTGAAGCACATTTTTGGGCGTTTATCATAAGTTTATTTTGATCATACCACTTCACGATAAAGTCAAGATCTTTTTGCAGTAACTCACTGTCCCTGATAGAGTTAATTTCTTTATAAATTTTTACATCATCAGCATAGATCAAACATTTTGACGATATTGTGTTTTCTGGTAAACTATTAATAACTAACAAAAATAAAAGAGGTCCCAAGTTGGAACCCTGGGGTACTCCTGAACTTTGAGTGAAACATTTAGACTTAAAACCATTAACTTTAACAAATGCTTCGCGGTTTTCAATATATGATTTTAAAATATTTACTAAGGTAAAACTAACATCAAATTTTAACAGGTGCTCAACTAGTATGCTATGTTCTAATTTATCAAAGGCTTTAGTCATGTCTGTGTAAATAACGTCTATTTGTTTATTACTATTTAGGGCATATTTAGAATCTTGCATAAAATTTAACAGATTTGAGATTGTTGATCGTTTGGGCATAAAGCCGTGTTGTAAATCACTAATTTTTGTTTTTACCTCATTGAATAACATGTCATAAATTAACATTTCAAAAATCTTTGACATGCAGTTAAGTATACTCACAGGTCTATAGTTATTTGTCATATTTTTTTCCCCCGATTTAAAAATGGGAGAAATTTTACTAACTTTTAGGGAGTTCGGAAAAACTCCGTTATCTAAACATAAATTAAAAATAAAAGTAAGCGGTTCAGCAAAGAATTCAGCGCAACCTTTAAATAAATAAAATGGCAAACCATCGGGGCCTGTGGATTTGCAATTTTTTAGCCTTTTTATTGAATTTAGCATATCAGTTGTTGTTATTTTTATATTATTTGAATTATCCATTCTACTATAGGCGTTTGGGTTTGTGTTTAATGAGTAAACTGATTTAAAAAAATTAGCAAAAGCATTTGCAATATTTTGCCCTCCCTTATAAGACACATCATCATAAAAAATTTGTTCTGGTATTGATACATAGTCTTTTTTCGATTTAACAAACTTCCAGAAAAATTTGGGATCGTCAATGACAGATCTTTGAGCTTGGAGTATATAATTGTTGTATAAGTTTTTTATTTTTAGATTGACTAAACGTCTATGATTTTTATAATTTTCTTGGTCATCTGACAAATTTGTATTAAGGAATATTTTACGGAGTTTACTTTTTTCCTTTATTAATTTTATTAATTCTTTATTATAATATATTGGATATTTGGTATTTTTTTTACATAGTTTTCCTGTAGGAACCGACATATCTAAAATATCAAATATCTTGGAATAAAAATTTTCCATACATAAGTTAACCTCATTATTAGAATACAAAAAAGTCCAGTCTTCATCTTTAAGAAGCTGATAAAGTAAGTTAAAATTGGCATTTTTAAAGTTATAAAAAATTTCTTCTTTTACTTTGCACTGTCTAGGCTTTATTTTACGTATATCACTAACAATCAAGGAGGGATGATGGCTATCTTCTTTTGCTAAAGAAAAATCACATTTAGAAACATTTACTTGAAGATTTGTTATGATTAGGTCCAGAATGGCTCCATGTAAGTTATTTATAAAGTTTTTTTGAAAAAAACCAGTAAATGGTTTTGTATCTCATCATTGTATCTCATCATTCATTAGTCCCGGTATGTTAAAGTCTCCCGCAATTATTACACTATTATTTTTAAAAGATAGGCTTTCTAAAGAATAAAAAATAGATGTATACAATGTTAAATCACTATTAGGGGGAATATAAATACAACACAAAATTAGGCTTCCCTCATTATTTACTTTAACACATATGCCCTCTACTTTATCATCAAATAAATTAATTTCCTCACACTTGAAATAATTATTTATAGCTATTAAGACCCCACCACCCTTTTTGCCAGTTCGATCCTTGCGAAAAACCTCATAGTTATTATTTATAAATTCTGAATTGTTTACACTATTTTTTAGCCATGTTTCCGTAATTAACAAAAAATCATAATTTTCAGTTAGTGAATTTATATTAAAATCGCGCATTTTATTACATAAGCTTCTAATATTTTGATAATATAAAATATTTGACTTTTTAAATTTATTTAATTGCTATGCCATGCCTAGACTAACACCGGTTTTTAAGTCATTTAATATTTTAACGTAACATGGACAGTTTGAATCTGTTGATGCATGATTATAATCAATTTTGTTTTTAGAGCGTTTTTGTAGCCGTATGCAATTTGCACATTTTTTTATATCATTGGTACATAACTTAGTATCATGACTTTCTGCACAAGATAAGCAACACTGCCCCCCTGCCTTGCAGTCAGCAGCAATATGCCAAAAATCTGCACATTTAAAGCATCTTTTGACGTGATATGAGTCTTTTACTTTTCCAGATGACCACCCCACTGATAGTCTACCTAGATTTAAAATAAACTCCCTTGTTTTATGATCAACAGATATAATAACATTAACTTTATCATTCTCTGAACTTTTCATTATTCGAACTACCTCTAGTTCCTGATTTTCATTTGCTGAATCGCTAATTTTATTATGCTTAATTATTTTTTTGGCTAATTCTTTTTTGTCTAGATTAGTTTCCGGGTTATCGATTCCGTAAATAATTATTTTGGGCTTAATAGTTTTTGGATTACTGATTGTATACTTATCTGCTTGCAGATTACTTTCCAGAGATGTTTTAAGTATATTATTCGAATTACTTGAATCACATGTAATAACAACACCACTATTTATTTTTTTTAACTCTATCAATTGTAATTGACAGTTCATCAGGTTTTATTAACTGTTTTAATTCCGCGTACACTTGATCGCCGTTTATGGTATTGTCTTTTGATTTGATTATCACAGCGTTTTTCGAAAACGTCAAACTTTTATTGTTTATGTTTTGGTTCACTTTTGCACTGCTTATACTCGACGTAGAGGCAACCAGCTGAGACACCTTCGGCTTCACTGTTGGCTGTCGGTCAATCGCCGTGTTTACATTAACCAATTCTAGCGTTTTTTTCGACTCGAGGTTTTTTGCTGCGACTTTGCTATATTGCTGATTGTTTCTTGAAATATTGTTTTCACATTCAAAACTGGTAATATGTAGTCATAGTATTAAGTTCAAATTTTGAAATTGTATTTAATACTAAATATGTAACGTGTATATAGAGATGTCCCTCTATAAACAAGTTCACATTGTTTCTTGGGATGAATAAAGTATTTTATTGTTATTATTAATATTATCATTTAATGGCGTCCATTTTTGTTGTTTACAATACTTGTGCTTTGGGTTTGTACAGATCAATAATCGTTTTAAACGTTGTTTCCTACAGAGAAACTTGCAAGCCTTAATTAATCATTTTACTCCTCTTTTGTAAAAAATAAACCTTATTCCATCAGGGCTGTCAAATGTCAATTTAAAGGGTAATTTGTTGGTTATAAAATAACCTTAAAATTGACATTTGACAGTTTGATGACAGCCCTGATAAAATAAGGTTTATTTTTTACAAAAGTGGAGTAAAATGGTTGTCCTTAGCACTTTAAGGACTCATTTGAAGCTTACAATTGTCTCTGTAAGAAACACAACGTTTAAAACGATTATTAATCTGTATAAACAGCACAAACCCAAAGCACAAGAATTGTAAACAACAAAAATGGCCGCCGTTAAACTCTGTGCAGTGTTGTAGTGATTTTTAGTATGAGATAGACAGACCTTGTTGTGTGGAATGTGATTTAATATTTGTTTAGTATCCATATTTTTTAATTTGTAAAATATAAATCATGAGTTTCATATTATACTAAATACTTTTTATTGAACATTTAAAAATGTAAATTTCTTTAAAAATAAATATTTTAGAAAGTCTTATTTAGAAATATCAAAAACAAAATTAAAAATATAAACATTAATTGGAAATGTCCAGACCTATTTAAAAATGTGTATTCATATACAGGCAGTAGCGACCCGTGACATTTCATTTTGGTGAGGCAGAGGCAGGGTTTCGCCCTCATTTAACCCTTTCAGTCCGGCGTTCGTTTGGCTCGCCTTACTGCACAGCCGGCGTTCGTTAAGCTTTGCGGATTCGTACGCTTCCCGGACTTAAAGCCACGCGGATTCATAAGTCCCGTACCCAATGTGAATTAAAAAACAAAACGTAATTTATTTTTTATTAAAAGAAAAAATAGTTTATAAAGTTTCACATAAAGAAACAACGTAATTTATTGAAAGAACTAATAGTTTTTCACATTTAAAATAAATAATACGATTCGTAACGATAATACCCGATCGCTATAAAATTGTTTTTATAAATAAAACGAAGCATAACACATCATATTGTACCCGTGGATCCGATCGTTTCCCGGTCTCAATGCATCAGACAGCCGCGCGTTTAAATCCGTCTCCCGGCTGTGGGATCACATTAGGTTTTGCGGACGGATCCGCTTCCCGGACTGAAAGGGTTAAAGGTGAAGAAATTTGTTTAAACCTAACTTAAAAAAACTGACGTCGCAGTTCACAACCTATACTTAAAACTAAGTAAAAAAAAGTCTACAATATCGGTACAATTTCTCACCGTAATATCCATAATGACTAAATTCACATAAATCACCAAGTTCAATTAACTAAACCCACAGAATAAACCACTTACAAAAGAATCATAAAATAGACAAACTCATAGAAAAAGAATAAAGAAAATATTGCGTAAATAAACAGTTCAGAATTTTATAACCAAAACAAACCTAAAGAAGGAATCTGTATTTATTTTACTGTTTCGGTTACTGTGATGGCTACAAGATGGCGATAGTGTTAAAATATGTTTATTTTAGAATAGAAATATAATTTCGATTAAATCGATTTATTATAAGAAAAATAATATAATAATAATACCATTTATTATTGAATTTTAAAAAACGTGTGAAGTATAATTTATCTAAAATTCCGCAACAGTGTTGCCACAACACCTGCTTATTTCCTGGGATGTAGGCGTGCCTGCCTCGCGTATGCTAATACGAGAGAAGGAGACAACTATGATATCGCATTGTAATAGAACGAGACAACAAGGCTAACGCCAATCGTGAGTCTAAATTAGTTCAGGCATGCTTCTGAGCCAATCATCTAGCTATAAATATTAGTTTAAATTGCGGTCGTTTCAAATTCAAATAATTTAAATGTTGCTGGGTATTCCACGTATAAAATCAATCAATTTTATTGGCTATTTCACAATTCATGTAATCCAAATATTAAAAATGTATAGTACCTATATTATAGAAAGTAAAATATTTAAATTATTCTTAATTTTTTAATTCTCTATGATGAGTAGGGTGAGCCAAAAAAACTAACCTATCGGATTTATGGGTTAAAATGAACCTACATACCGAGAAAAAAATTTCCCTGCAAGGCAAAATTTTTTGCTCAATTTTAAAAGGTGTTGGTGAGCATTCTAAGTTTTCCATTGAAATAACACCTAAAAAAATCTTTTTTCATTAAAAAGACTATAACTTTTGAACCGTTTGAGATAAAATGTTTTACGTCGCGGATTCTTGTAGAGCATAAAATTTCCCAAAGAATCTATACCAGGATTATTTTTTTTTAATTAAAAAATTCGTATGTTTGAAAGCTTTGAAAAGTGTAAAAAATCACTAAAACTGCAGTTCAAAAGTATTTTTAATGAAAAAAGATTTTTTTACGTGTTATTTCAATGGAAAACTTAGAATGCTCACCGACACCTTTTAAAATTGAGCAAAAAATTTTGCCTTGCAGGAAAATTTTTTGCTCGGTATGTAGGTTCATTTTAACCCATAAATCCGATAGGTTAGTTTTTTTGGCTCACCCTAATGATGAGGCACTGCCTCACCTGCCTCCCCTGACGGGCCGCCACTGTATACAGGGTGTCCTGAAAATGGTTCACTACCACGCGTAAAACCCATGTGGTAAAACCGACATTAACCTACATTTTTATTCAATTTCTTCACGTTTTGAGTTATGTACTACCACCATCATTACTGTATAACATGTAAAACTTATTTTCCCAGGAATAACGAAGTTATAACGATTTTCGTTTTGACAGGACTGAAAGTTATTTTAAATTATTTGAGAACCGTAATTTTTTATTCAATATGTAAATGCCATTTGAATGGACTTCTAATTACGGAATTTTTCTCAATTTAACCAACCTTGTAGCTCTTAACCCTGTATAGTAATTATTTTTTATAGAAGCCCCAACAGTGGAAGTGCTCGCACCAGCACCACCCCAGCTCTAACTCATAGAACTGTCCCTAGCACTCCAACAACCAATACTACCACCACTCAAAATACAACTACCCCTCCTACTGTGGGTCAATCAACGCCGCAAAGCGCCCCCATTCCGGCCGTGGTACCTAACGCCCCTAGGGTTCCCAGACCCTTGGTCCAGGGCTCCAACTCATCCACAAAACCAATTCAATTGTCAGACTTGCAAACCTTTTTGCAAGGAATGACTCCGCCAAGAACTGATGGTGGACAAAATCAGTCAGGTAAAAAAATAATTTAGTGTAAAATGTTGGTTTTGTAATGTTTTTCAATGTTACAGTTGACTTGTCAACTGCATTAACAACTGAAACTTTGTCAGGTGTTTTGAGTAACCCCGGTGCTCTTCAACAACTTCAAGATCATTTACCGGTTGTTGATGGAAATAGTAGAGAAGCTCTGAGGTCCACTTTGGCTTCCCCACAGTTTCAACAGGTAAAAATACTTTCAAGACAACCTATTACCTCTGGTTGAGATGATTTTTATCTAGAAACCTTGGTCACCAAGATGCCTAGTTAAATAGGTTGCCTTGCCAAGGTATATAGTTAAAAAGATTGTCCAGTAACAATAAAATTATTTTTTTCAGGCTGTGTCTCAATTTTCGAGCGCTCTTGAGTCAGGTCAGTTAGGCCCTGTGGTTTCCCAGCTGGCTGTTAATCCTGATGCAGTTGCTGCAGCCTCTGAAGGTAACATGCAAGATTTTGTCAAGGCCTTGGAGAAAAGTGCAACTGAAGGAACAGCTGCATCAGAAAAGGAAAAATCTTCAAAGGATGACAAAAAGGATGATGATGAACAGATGCAATTGGATTAATTTTCGCCATTTTCATTTAACCTTGTGTGGTGTTTAAGATGCATTTTAATTTTTTTAGCTTTTGTTTTGTTTGCTTTTTATAACTTGCAAGTTGCAACTCAGCACTGTATTAGCTAATAAAATAATTGAACAATTTTTGGTTTTATTTAAAAATGTTTTAGAATTAGATAAACTTAAAATAAAAAAATAAAGTTTTTAGACCTATTTTTTATTCTTTTTCTTTGGTTTGGTATTTGTATCTTCTTTTTCATTGTTTCCTTGAAATTTTTTAAGATCTGCACAAAATAATACCTATAAAAATAAAATTAATGATAATAATCCTAGAAAAACAGTTTGTTTTCTTACTGTATGAGCCCAACCTGCTAAAGGTCCATATAACTCTCTAAAATGATCACCAATTTCATTATAAATTTTATCTGTAACAGTTTTTTGCTGATGTAACTTTGGCATATACAACCTTTTTGCAATCTGATAAATATGAGTATCAACTGGAATAGCCTGCAAATGTCCAAGGGACATTAAACATATACAGTCAGCCACCTAAAATGTTAGTGTAAGCTTAACTTTTATATTTATATTTAGAGATGTAAAAAAACGGTTTTTTTTCAGATGTGAAAAAAAACATGAAAAAAAACCTAGAAAAAAAAACGGTTTTTTTTGTTTTTTTTCAAAATGAAATTTTGAGTAAAATGTATATTAATAATAAAGTAAAATGTAGAATATATTACATTTTTCATTAATGAAAATTTTGACCAAGACTAAAAAATCTGATTTCTTATTATTTGGTAGTTTCCACATTATAAACCAATAGCAATGTATAACTTCTACACTTGAGGAGCGTTTATTCAAAAAGGGACAAGTCCATTTTAGCGATTTGCAGAAATAGGTCAAAAGCAAATGAATTCTGTTATTTTTGACTTGTTTCTGCAAATCACTAAAATGGACATGTCCCTTTTTGAATAAACGCTCCTCACTTATACAAAAAATTAAAGGATAAAAAAAATGTTTGCGATTTTTGGGATAACTGTTTCTTTGTTAAAAATGGTCGTATTGGAGCCGTAAAAAAAGCAATTTAAAGCTTGAAGTTTCTAGTTTTGAGATTTTTAGATGAAAAACGTGCAACGCTCAATCCTAACGAATACCGTAATTGCTTTCTTTTTTGATCCACGGAATGTTCTGACTTAACCACCAATTCTACAAGAATTTGCTATTGTTTTTTTGAAAAAAAAAATTCCACTTTACATGAATTTGAAAAATCATGAAAAAAGTGCTTTTGGTAGCTTTTTGAAAAATCAAGCGCTGAATCAAAAATATTATATGTTTGACTACATAATGTAGTTACTTTTTTTAGGACCAAATCAAAACAAGCGCGGCCCTTATTAGTCAATTCGGTGGTGGTGACGCGTGCATAGCACGAGACTGTATTTACATTTACTAATTGTCATTTAGTGGCTAATTTTAGTCCATGGAAACATAAAAAATTAGGCAAATGGGACTAATCTTGAAAAAAAACCTAAAATGTGAAAAAAAACCATTTGAAAAAAAACAATGAAAAAAAACCTGAAAAAAAACAAAAAAAACGGACCGTTTTTTTTCAAGTCGCATCTCTATTTATATTAGGGTGGTTCATTTTGAAGGAACATTTATTTTTTGCCACTCCCCAAAGAAAATATTGCTATACATATCAAGAAAAAAATTGTCAAAAGTTTGTTTTCTTGTGGTAGGTAAAATGCAAAAATACTGTTTTTTACAACAACAAAATAACAACATACACTTCAACAACAATTATTATTTGACAGTACAATTTATGAAATTCTTTATATCTTTTTAACTGGGAATTTTGCATTTATCCATAAGTAAGAAATTAAATTTTCTATAACAGTTTCTTTTTACTCTTTACCTGTAACTTCAACAGTGTTGCTGTAAAACTACATAGGAAGAATTACTTTATCAATATTTAACACTAAAATTTATTAAATGCTCTATATCTTTTAAATTATACATTTTATTGCATCATACCATTTTTTTAAATTGAATTTCCTATAAAAATCTTTTTACCTGTATTTTTAACCACTTTTCCATAAAATGCAAAAATACTGTTTTTTATTTACTGGTGAAGTATACAGGTCTAAATATATTAAATGCAGTAAAATTGTTGCAAGTCCTTTAAAAGAGCAACAAATCATGTACAAATTACACCTTTAAAAAGCACTAATGTATTATGTCACCAATTGAAAAAAAACCCTTAATTTCCTGTTGCATATTTCAATTGGAAAACTTTCAAATCGAAATATAAGTACTAAGGAGGTACAACTGTAAGGGCATTTTATATATGTACATCAATATTGTACTTGAGCGACAAAAAATAAATGTGCCCTTAAAACAAATTACACTATATTTTATTTGTGTATATAAATATATTTACTTTGGCTCCAATTCCTGTTAGTGTCATTAGATTTTTTTTGGAATCAATATATTCCATATTCCTTAATTTTTCAAGCCATTTTTTACCACCATTTTCCACAATAATCTGTGCCGTTCTATTAATATATTTGGCCCTGTACCCAAACCCATTATCTCTTAATTTCTTTTCAACACTATCATCAGCCAAATTTTCTACTTCAGGAAAAGCATAGTACATTTCATTATTATACTCACAAATCTCTTTACCATAAAACTTGGCTAATTTCTCCACCATGCTTGATATTCTTGATATGTTATTATTAGAGGAACAAATAAATGAGAAAACATTCTCTGTAACCTCCTGATTTAATATTCTAATACCATAGAATTGTTTGGCTGCTTCCTTAAAATAAGGATCTTTTTCAGACCATATGGGATAGTGATCTTCCAATTTTAAATCCAATTGAAAATAATCTCTTAATGTTTGTTCACTATTTTCACTTTTATCACTACCGCCCAATACTTTGTATAAAATGTAATCTTCTTCTTGTTGAAGAATCCATAATTTATTTCGAAAAACACCTACCCATTCATCTTTATCATCTTTTAAAATTTTTTTCCATCTAAATAACAGAATTTTGTTAACCAGGCTTTACTAGTTGTATCCAAAGATAATATTATCTTTGGTTGTATCTACTAAAAATGTTACCTAAAACTTTGCCCTCCATTGAGGGTTCCAACAAGTTGTAATTCTATGTTTTTACACAATAATTTACGCCACACTTCTTTCATTATTAATATTTTTTAAAGAAAAACACAAGAAACTATACACCTTTAAACGGGTTTTAATTTTTGCCCGCCATTTTTTGGGGTTAGAAAAGTTTAAACAGTTTTGCCAACACATATAAATAACGAACAATCTCACCTTGAGAATAGTTTAATAGTTAAATGAAAATTAGCTTATAAAATAAATATATTATTATTCTATTTACAAAGCAAAGTTAATAATTTAAATTATTTTTTATTTTATGAAATATATGAAAATGTATTGTTGTTTTTATTAACAGTTGGCATTTTAGTAACTAAATGATGACAACCTAATAAAAATTAATACTGCTGCTGTCAAAATTTCGATGACTTTGTGATTTTGTTGTCTGCCGCATCTTCAAAGTAAATTAAACATAAAATGGTAAGAATAAAATATGAACTTGCTAAGTTCAACTTAGTAATTTTCCCTTAACTATATTCTAAATCGATTAAGCTAATAATTTCTTTATCAAAATTAGGGACAGAGTCAGTCGGGTCCCGGAGGTGGAGACAAGAAAGAAGAAAAGGACAAAAAGAAGAAATATGAGCCCCCAATTCCCACAAGAGTAGGAAAGAAGAAGCGCCGTACTAAGGGACCTGATACAGCCCTGAAATTACCCCTGGTAACCCCTCACACTCGCTGCAGGCTAAAGTTGCTCAAGCTTGAAAGAATAAAGGATTACTTGCTGATGGAGGAGGAGTTTATTCGCAACCAGGAAAGACTTAAGCCACAGGAAGAGAAGAATGAAGAAGAAAGATCCAAAGTTGATGATCTTAGAGGTATTTGACAGCAGAAATGCTTTGTAATGTTTTCAAAAACAAAGATTGATGATTCAGGTTACTTTTAAATTGCAGATATTTTCCAATCCATTTTTTAAAAATATTTAATTAATTAAAGCATTACAAAGTACAAAATAATTGTAAGATTCAAAACAAAAAATGTGGAGCATATACATAGAAATAATACCATAATATAATTATTATAATTTTTATAGTACTATTTCTATGGGCACATGCAATACATAGCAAGATACATACACCTAGATAGATAGATAGATACAGTAGAAACCACGAATATATGAATGTGACTCATCAGGCACAATCGTACGAAGTAATCTATTGAAGGTCACGGTCCAGTGCAATGCTGTATAACGGGTATTTGTAAAAAATCTTGAGTGTAATGTTGGTTGCTATACTTCTGATATATTTGCTTTTAACCCTTAAGCAGGCACGCGGGGTGTACAAAACACCCCAGCTTCCTAAATATACCTACCGGTCTCACTTCGTTTCGAATAAATGGCGCTTACTTTCAGTACCTTCCTGTCAAAGTATTGTCAGTCATATTATATTGCCGATTTCGAAGTTAATGTAATAGGTTGTCTGATATTTTGTTTCAAACAGGCTCTGGGTGCTGTGGACACCCCGTGCGCCTTTCCACGTACAATTATTTTGCATTAATTTGTTAAGCTGATTTCTTCAACTTTTGTTATTACTTCACATTAAATAAGGTTATACCCTGTAAAAAAGTAATTGAAACGCACGACAAAATATTTATTTTTATCTTGAAAGCATTGCGTTATGTTTTGCTTGTTTCCGTTCGTTCTAATATTTTATGTAAACAACAAATAAAAATTTGCCAAAATTTCTCCGCCCAATAATTTTCAAATTATCAGTTGCCGGTAAAGAAGGGCAGATGTGTAATTTGTCCAAGGCATGCCTTTTTGCAAAAAGTAGAAGGTGTGCCAAAAACATGTGCATAAAGCGCAGGAAAAATGTTTGTAAAGAAAGCTTGGATTCCATAGTAAATTCTAGTATCGAAATTGAGTGACTTTGAGCAGACTGGGTTTCGCCTCCCTATTGACTTTTCTTTACCAAATCATATTTACTTGTAAAAGTAAACCTTATCTTATGTGCTTAGTGTTTTTTTTTTGGTTTTTATTATTGTTATGACTTTTAAAATTTGTTTTTTTTAAATAAATGCTTTATTTTATTAAAATTGTCGTCTTTTGACATTTTCTTTTTTTTTGTCATCTTTTATCAAATTTGAACGCAACGAAATATGTTCTCATTGTCTCTAAGCTCATCTTAACTTGATAATTTTGAAAAAAAAACCAAAAAAATGTAAATAACACTCAGGGACGCTTTGCCATCAGGGGTGTCTCTGACACCCCGCGCGACCTACTACGTTGCATAAAGAGGTGCGCCTGCATAAGGGTTAAAGTTAAATTTTAATAATTAACATCTACGATAATTAAATAAAATGTAATTTTCTTAGAAACTAATTAATAAATATACTTTTCTTTTAACTGATGACAGAATGTTCACTCGTGGCGACATCTCTGTTTTTAATATCTAACAAATTTTTAGACCGATCCAACCTCACTTTCTTCCAATTAAATTCTTTGTCTATGGTATTTTTTGGAAACGTAGAAAAAGTATAGTCTGAAACACGTTTGGAATTGCATATTCCCCTCTCGTGAAACCGTCAAACTCGCCTTCGGCTCGTGTGACAAACTTTTCACTCGATCGGAATATGCCGTATTCCAAACAGAATATACTATTCTTTTAACTGTAAACGCAAATATTTCAGAATTGGTGACAAAAAAACAAAAATGTTTACGCAGGTCAGGTACAAAGTGAAGGATATTTAAATTGTGTGGATATAAAAACAACTTGCGTTAGTTTCACGAAATTTATTAAATATTGACAATTGTTTCGGTACACAGTAGCTTCTTCAGAATGTATTAAACTAATACTAGTACAAAATTTATATAATAAAAATATTTTTGTATTCTAGCCTAGAATTTCTAGGTAAGGATTTTTATATGACATCTACATGTGTTACATAATATAAACCACTGCCACTACAACGTTTAAAACGATTATTAATCCGTAAACACACAGCAGAAACACGATATGCAAAAACAAAGATCATATGACATATAAAAACAAATGGCCGACGGTAGAGTTGGTTGCCTTACTATGTAATAAAATAAAATAAATTCCCTAAAACACGAGCTCTACTGAATTCCAACAAAATTAAGTAACAAGCTAGGACACGCGTCATATGTCCATCTTTGTCGAACACCTAGGCAGTTTTACATCACAGATGGCGCATTTTAGACCGGATGCTTAAAAACCTACGTGTGAGTACATTTACCGCTGCATCGAATGTACAAGACAAGTAAAACATTACTGCTAGCATGTCTGAGATATGTTCGGCACCCGATGAGTCACGTTCATATATTGGTGGTTTCTACTGTACATAGTAAGGAGTGTGTCATCTGTTATTTCAAATAACTTATTTGTCACCTGTCAAATTGTTTAAGTGGTAAAACCAATGAAACAAATGGGTTTTTGTGACTTTCTTTACATGGTGTAATAAATAATATGTTCTGAATTCTGCTTTAATTCTACATCAATGCCATTTTTAAAGACAATTTTTAATTGCAACTGCAATTGCAAGAATGCACCACATGATTCACAATGAAGTTTGGCAGATTGTAAGGAGTGCAGGGAGTACCTAACACTCCTTATACTTTTTAGTGGGTTAAAATTTTTTTTAGTTTTTTAAAACTAGTAACTTGTTTTTTACTATTTACTTGTAACTGTTAAAATTAAATAAAAAAATCTAGAGACACCTTGATATTTTTCCCTATAAAGGTAAATTTATATTACCTATAAATTACAATATGGAGTAGTAGTAGTATGATTCAGTGGTGCCTGGTGGATTTTGCATATACTGATAGATATGTAAAAAAACGGTTTTTTTTGTTTTTTTTTTAAATGAAATTTTAAGTAAAATGTATATTAATAATAAAGTGAAATGTAGAATATATTACATTTTTCTTTATTGAAAATTTTGACCGAGACTAAAAAATCTGATTTCTTATTATTTGGTAGTTTCCACATTAGAAACCAATAGCAATGTAAAACTTCTATACTAATACAAAAAATTAAAGGATAAAAAAATGTTTTGCGATTCTTGAGATCTTTGTTAAAAATGGCCGTAAAAAAGCAATATGAAGCTTGAAGTTTCTAGTTTTAAGATTTTTAGATGAAAAACGTGCAAAGCTCAATCCTAACGAATACCGTAATAAAAAAAATCGATTTTTTTTGGCTTTCTGGTCCACAGAATGTTCTGACCACCAATGAATAAATGTTCTACAAGAATTTGCTATTGTTTAAAAAAAATCCATACTCTACATGAATTTGGAAAATCATGAAAAAAGTGCTTTTGGTAGCTTTTTGAAAAATCAGGTGCGGCCCTTATTGGTCAATTCGGTGGTGGCGCGTGCATAGCGCGAGACTATTTACATTTACTAATTGTCATTTAGTGACTAATTTTAGTCCATGAACTGGACTGGAAACAAAAAATTAGGCAAATAAGACTAATATTGAAAAAAAAACCTAAAATGTGAAAAAAAACCATTTGAAAAAAAACAATGAAAAAAGCCTGAAAAAAAACAAAATACCAAAAAAAAACGGACCGTTTTTTTTCAAGTCGCATCTCTATATATAACCAAAATATCAGTATATATACTGATATTTTGGTTATTAGACATAATAAAGATAATACAAATTTTAGTGGTGCAATTTATAATTTACCTTTATTGACAAATTTCAAAATTTATTTAAAAAATCCAAGTATTACAGATTTTATACCATTTTAAATTTGTATTACTTTTCCTAAATTTAAAATAAAAAATAAAATAAAATCTGTAATACTTGGATTTTTTTAAATAAATTTTGATATTTGTCAATAAACTATGGTAAATTATAAATTGCACCACTAAAATTTGTAATATCTTTATTAGGGGGGGCAGGCTGCAGGGGAGCTACAGCAAAAGCTATATATTTTTTGCAAACTTCTATTTAAATTCTGCTTTCACAGAACTTGTTAATTTAGTGTCTTTATAAACTCATATAAATTTGGTGTGGGTCCCATGTCTAATAACTGAGATATGACATATGCAAAATTCAGCAGCCCCCACTGCTGCTGCTACACTACTTCAGTTGTCAATTTTAAGACATATAATTAGCTAAAGTTGACATTTTTAAGGCAAGTTTAATTTGGATAGCGTTTATCGAAAAAGAACCAAGCGCCAAAAACTTGTTCTGGAGTAAAAAAAAATATTTGCAAAAGTGACTAATTCAAATCTTAGCACTTTGTGATTTCACTATTAATATTAACTATTTACGTTGTCATGGCGTAGAATTGTTATTGTTGTTAAATTGTCAAAATAAATTATATCAAGATGACATCTTTTCTGTAACTGAGATTGATAACACTAGTTTACAAAATCGAAAAAAAATTTTTTTATGGAAGCGTTTTTAAAATATGAATTTTCAATTGTTTTTTTTTTATTTTCGGAGGTGTTTTGACGTTTTTGAGTATAGCTTGAAATCTAATTAATCGATTTGGTCAAACAACCCCTTAAATTGAAGGTATTTGAGCCCTCTAAAACTTTTTTTACATACTTTTGATATCGGATAAGTATTTTGACGCTAGCGATTTTAATAACTTAAAAAATTCGTTTTTATGGAAAAATTGAGGTCGAAAATTTACATATTGTCCTGGGAAAGGTTTAAATCAAACAGATAACTCCAGTTATTTTTTTTTCGTGAAGCTGACATTTTTTCAAAAAAAAAACAAGCTAATGTTGATAAAAATACATGAAAAAATGGCGAAGTTATGAATTTTTTAGGGGAAGACCAAAGTTCAGCTTTTTGACGATTTTTCTTTTTTTTTTCTTTTATTTCGTAATAAAGGGTGATCCACTTTGAGCTTGGCAATTTAGATGGCCATGAAAATCAAAACGTCAAAGTATTTGTCATTATCAAAGTAATATTTGTGGTCTAGAAAGACATACAAATTTGATTATGCAGCAGTATACGACTGAACAACGCGTTAAAATTATCCAAACTTACTATGAAAATGGGCGTTCAAATGTGCGTACTTTGCGCGAATATTTTGGAATACAAAATCGACCTTCTAGGCAAGCAATTACGAATGTCGTGCAGAAATTTGAGCGAAATGGGTCAGTACTTAACATCAAAACTCCCCAGCGTGTTCGTCCTGTCCGTTCAGAAGAAAATGTTGCCAACATTCGTGAAAGTGTTGCCCAAGAACCAAAAACTTCGATTCGTCGCCGATCACAGCAGTTAGGCCTTCGGTACACCTCAACGCAAAGAATTTTGGCGAAGGATTTGAATCTTCATCCTTATAAGGTCCAAATAACCCAAGAATTAAAGCCCAGAGACCATCTCCAGCGACGTATGTTTTGTGAGTGGATGCTTCAACACGAAGTCGATTTTTCGAGAAAAATAATCTTCAGTGATGAGGCTCATTTTAACCTCAATGGGTTTGTTAATAAACAAAACTGTCGGGTTTGGGGGTTACAAAACCCAAGAGAAGTTGTTGAGAAACAAATTTTCCCCAAAAAAGTTACAGTTTGGTGTGGTCTGTGGGCTGAAGGAGTAATTGGTCCGTACTTTTTTGAAAACCATGAAGAAAATGCTGTAACAGTCAATGCCGTGCGTTATCGGAGCATGATTACTGATTTTCTTTGGCAAGAGTTGGAAGGAGTGAATATTGAAGAGGTCTGGTTCCAACAGGATGGAGCGACCTGTCATACAACCCGGGAAACAATCGATTTGTTACAGACCCGCTTTCCAGGCCGGGTTATTTCGAGAAACGGCGATATTAATTGGCCGCCTAGATCTTGCGATCTAACCCCCTTAGATTTCTTTCTCTGGGGATATTTGAAGAATAAAGTTTACGTTAACATGCCCAATACAATTCCGGAACGGAAACAAGAAATACGACGGGAAATAGCTGCCATAGAGCCTGCGTTGTGTCGCAGAGTCGTTGAAAATTTTGACCAGCGCATTCGGTTTTGTCATTTGAGCCGTGGCGGCCATATGGCCGATGTTATCTTTCATACCTAATTGTACGATATTTAACGTTATTATTTAATAGAAAATTTCTCAGCTTTTAAAATATTTCGAGTTTTATTTTATTTTCTCATTGCCAAGCTCAAGTTGGATCACCCTTTATGTTTATTTTTTAAGTTTTTTACGTAATTTTCACCGAAAACATAAAATTTAAATTTGATATGACTCCGCAAACGTGACTTCTTTTGTTTCTCGTGTTGGCATAGTGACATTTTACTGCTATTTTTTGATATTTTAACAGAGTATTTTTATCATGGTTTTATTTAGTTAATAAAAAGTGTAAAATAAGTAAAAGAAGTAGAGAGTTCGAGTGCGTAAATAACCCGGACAATCTGGGCGACGTTAGTGATGAGCACGGAGAACGTTTTGACCAGCAAATGAAGGCTATGGAGCGGCGTTATCACGGCTTCTGGGATGCAGCCATATGGCTGATATGATGGGTGATTACATTTGGTCCCTTATACGAGAAACGGAATACGAAAGCAACAAAAAACAAAGAAGGAGCCAGGTTTTGGGAGATTCTATCTTTTAAAAATCTGACACGGAAAAACAGCTTTTTAAAATTTCATTTGTATATAAATTAAACTTTAAACTGCTATTTGTTCCTCTTTAAATTTTGGGAGATAGAACAATCTAATTCTCAGGTCGCGGTATGCCTATACAACAAAATAAAACTTTCAATATCTTCAATTGTTTATTTATTGTTCAATATTCAATATATAATTAAATTTCAATATTTAATGTTTTAAATAAAAATCAATGTTTAATATTAAACTTTATATAACTCAATAAAATGAAAAAAACATAAAAATTCTCGAAAAAACTGAATTTTGGTCTTTCACTGAAAAATTCATAACTTTGCCATTTATCCATGGATTTTTATCAACAGCAGCTTATTTTTTTTCTTTAAGTATAATCTATACGTAAAATGAATCAAACTGGACTTATCTTTTCGATTTCTATCTTTCCCAGAAAGATATGTAAATTTTTGTAACCAAAAATAGGACTTTTTCAACTTCATAAAATCGCCAGTATCGAACTACTGAGCCGATACCAAGACTATACAAGAGAAAGTTGTAGATGGCTCTACCTAAGTGCTTGTTTGGTCAAATCGATCAATTAGAACTCGAAGTAAACTCTAAAACGTCAAAACACCTCAGAAAATATAAAAAAAACAATTGAAAATTCATATCTCGAAAACACTTCCATGAAAAAAATTTAAATTTAATTTTCGCGTTTAGTGCGCCAAACTACACAAGAAAATAATAGTGAGACATGGTGGGCAAAATGGCTGTAAACTAGTGTAATAAATAATTATAAAAGCAGAACGAAATTTATTATAATAATAATTATTTATCAAACTCATTTTTAATGCTGCTCAAACAATTAATAATGATTTGGGAATCTTCTCCATCCTTTTGAGAAAAGTTCCAAATGATGATTAACCTTTTGAGCATTATTAAATATGAGTTATTTTAAAAATAATTTTACTAAGCCCAGAAAGTTTTTGGTGCTTCCTTCCTTTTTGATAAGCGTTATCCATTTTATCATTGTTTTTAGAGTTTTAGGGGTCTTAAAACAATTGTTTTAATGGTTATATTGACATTTCAAAATAAACATAAGTTACAAAAAACCGAAAAAAATAAATTAAATTTTAACTTTTATGGTTTTTATGTTTTGTTTTTGTGTATTTTAGGGACACCAATGTCTGTGGGAACATTGGAGGAAATCATAGATGATAATCACGCCATCGTTTCCACATCAGTTGGTTCAGAACATTATGTGAGCATTCTCTCCTTTGTGGACAAAGACCAGTTGGAACCGGGTTGTTCAGTGTTACTTAACCACAAAGTCCACGCCGTTGTTGGTGTGCTTGGGGACGATACAGACCCCATGGTGACTGTAATGAAGTTGGAAAAAGCCCCTCAAGAAACGTACGCCGACATTGGTGGGTTGGATACTCAAATCCAGGAAATCAAGGAGTCTGTGGAGCTGCCTCTGACTCACCCAGAGTATTACGAAGAAATGGGTATAAAACCACCAAAGGGGGTTATCTTATATGGGCAACCAGGTACTGGAAAGACATTACTGGCCAAAGCTGTTGCCAACCAAACATCAGCCACATTCTTAAGAGTGGTAGGGTCAGAACTGATTCAAAAGTATTTAGGTGATGGCCCCAAACTTGTAAGAGAATTGTTTAGAGTTGCAGAAGAACATGCCCCCTCTATAGTCTTCATCGACGAAATTGATGCTGTTGGTACCAAACGTTACGACTCGAACTCTGGCGGCGAACGTGAAATTCAAAGAACCATGTTGGAGTTGCTCAATCAACTTGACGGTTTTGACTCCAGAGGTGATGTCAAGGTTATCATGGCCACTAATAGGATCGAAACTTTGGATCCCGCCCTGATCCGTCCAGGACGTATTGACAGAAAGATAGAGTTCCCCCTTCCCGATGAAAAAACCAAGAAGAGAATCTTTAACATCCACACCTCCAGAATGACTTTGGCTGAGGATGTTAACTTACACGAATTAATAATGGCAAAAGACGACTTATCTGGAGCCGATATTAAAGCAATTTGCACAGAAGCTGGTCTTATGGCTTTAAGAGAAAGAAGAATGAAAGTTATGAATGAAGATTTCAAGAAATCCAAGGAAAGCGTTCTTTACAGGAAGAAAGAAGGCACTCCTGAAGGGCTATATCTTTAATTTAAATTTGTGTTTTTTAATTAAGTTAAATACTTCTTTGTAACAAATTTATTTGATAAAAATATAAAAAAATAATTAATCTTAAGTGGTTTGTGGCAGTTTTATTTTCACTTTATCCTTATACTTTTCATGCAATCCCTTTAAATAATTATTGGATGTTTTATTTTGATTTGATATAGCTTCATTTATATCCAAGTTTGATGTATCTTTGCTTGGACAAACTTGACACCAACCTCTACTAATTTTTTCCAACAAAGGATCTTTTAAATCTTCTTTATTGGTCTGTTTATAAGTTGCCCTAAAATGTTAACACCATTTAATTAAAATATGACTGGTACCAGAAAAGATGTGTGATATTTCAGCTTATTGGCAAACAGTTGCCAAATTTTTTAAACTTGAAATATGTAACCACATACATTAATGCTCCTTTATATTTTCCAATAGCATAACCGTTTTTAAAACCCTCCTTGTACCCTTGATCGAAGCTTTTTTGAAAATTAGATTTTCTACCATCATTGATTCCATCTCTATATCCACACTGAAAAATAATTAAATAATGCCTTTTAATTATTTTATACAACGTACTTTTTCTGCTTTTCGTTCTATTTTTTTCCACGATAGTTCAGTTACATCCTCCATTATTTGTTATTTTTTGCAATTTTATAAAAAATGTTTACAACCAGGTTTCTCTATGGTGTACAAGAACAACCTTCTTTACAACACTTGTTTGCAAAGACCAGGGCAGGGTGGCAAAGTCTTCTTCTTCTTGTTAAAAACCAACTTCTGTGCCGACTGTCAAAAAATTATCTAACCACACTTTCTCATGTTTTTCTATTTTCAACTTTTAAAAACCTACTAAAAGGAATGTCTGAAGAAACTAAACCAAGTGTAAGCTCTCCCAATGAAGAAGCTTTACTGGATTTGGCAAAATCTCAACCAGAAGGTTTCAATAACGATGATATTAAACAAAATTTGCCGAATGTCCCCATTACAGAAGTTACAGGGATAATTAATAAATATTTGAAAAATGGGTACTTATCTTTATAATATACAATAAAATTACACTCGTTTTAATAATTTTTAGAACCTTGGAAGTCTTTAAAATGAAAAACAGCCTTTTCTACAAATATAAAGATCCTTTAAAGAAATCGGACGTAAAAGGGGCAGATAGTGAAGAAAAGGTTGTATACAAAATAATAGAAGAATCAGGAAACAAAGGAATATGGATTAGAGACATTAGATTTAAGTCAAATCTTAATACAACACAGTTAAATAAGGTTCTTAAAAGTTTGGAAACTAAAAAGTTCATCAAAGCCGTAAAATCAGTTGCTGTAAGTCCAATACTTACAATATTTATAAAAATTTAATAATTAATGTTTATAGGCCAGCAAAAAAAAGGTGTACATGTGTTACGATCTAGAACCAGATAGCTCAGTAACAGGAGGTGCTTGGTATCAAGATCAGGACTTTGAATCAGAATTTGTGGATGTTTTAAGTCAGCAATGTCACAGGTTTTTAGCCCAAAAATGGGAGGATGCTAGTAAACAAGGAGGGGGCCCTCTTTTGATAAGAAACAGAAGTTATGCCACAGCCACCGATGTGCATAAATTTATTTCTGAGTTGGGAATTAGTAAAGTGACTTTATCTATTGATGATATTGAAAGTATTTTGTATACAGTTGTTTTGGATAACAATGCTGAGAGAATAGTGGCTGCAAATGGTTCAAATTTGTATAAAATAGTAAATAGATTTTTGCCTAGTTTGGGAATTGTTAAAACTACATGTGGGATTTGCCCTATTGCTAATAGATGTGCTTCCACTGGCTCTGTAAACCCCAAATCTTGCACATATTTGACTGATTGGATTAATTATTAAAATATTTCTTGTTTAATTGATGTTTTTCTATTTATTTCCCTAAAAACCTGTTATATTAGCCCCATTGTCATTAATTGGTTCTATAAATCCTAAAGCTTGCATTTATTTTATTAATGTCAAAATGGAGTCTTTACAATGAGCATGAATTACATTTTTAGAAAATATTTGACTATAAGAAGAAAAGGGTGTTGGTGTTCTTTGTAAAGCCCGTATTACAGTCTGCAATTTTCCTTACAGCAATCTTTCTTGCATGCAAGTTTTATTGCTGATTAATAGATTGCCTTCCTTTAGGGATGGGAAAACTATCAGTAATTGATAGTTATCAGGAAGGACAAATATCAATAAGTATCAGTAATTACCCCTTAAGGGGTGTTGTTATACTGTATACTGATAGTAAATTTCTACTTGAAGAAATTTTTAAGATAACTGTAAAAACCTTACTTTGTCAGAAAACAAACAAATGCATATTATAATGCATAATATAAATTTTTCTTGGGTATACCCAAAAAAAATTTCTTCGGAAAAATCAATTCCTGACTTACCGACCCAGTATTTTATATTGAGCTAGTTAATAACTAATAATAACTTAGCTCCATTTATGAGAAAACTTTAAAACTTCCCAGATACATCTGGTTATTTTGCATTTTTTTGGTATCTCCGAGTTTTTATAACCTTAATTATAACTTATCAATAAGGTTTCTACAGTACAAATTCTACCAGAATCTAGAAACTTTCTAGATTGCTTTAACTCTAAACGAGTGATTTTGTCGCGTATAAGGTTTCTACAGTACCAATTCTACCAGAATCTAGAAACTTTCTAGATTGCTTTAACTCTAAACGAGTGATTTTGTCGCGTTTTTAACAGTGTTGTTTTCTGGCGTTAAAACATGCAGTTAGAAAAAAGTTCTTCAAAAAAAAAAACCAAACTACTTTGCAATTTTTCCAACAAAGTACAAGTGGACAATCTCTTACTATTATTTGAATACCTTTTCCTGCTTCCTTACCAAAATTGAATAACTTTTCGAATATCCCGCTTCGAAGAGGTGGTGGAAGAAGTTATTGATATTTACTGATAGTTATCAGTAATTCACTCGAAATTACTGATAGTTACCGTTACAGTTACGTCAACCGGGGCTAAATGGATCAAAAATATCCTTTTATTCAAATTAGTTCCAAAACTATTCGAAATTTTTGCCTTAAACTTGGAATGTACATTTCTTGGTTACTCAGCTATGCATTGACCACTTGCCCACATTGTAACTCTTTCAATGACCTATTTTTTTGTATTTATATAGTGATCCACTTTACCCATAGTTTGGGGTAAAGTGGATAATCCATTAAAAATCATACAAATTTCACTTTAAACATATCCTGGGTAAAGTGGATCACAATTAAATAATAATTTTAAAAAAATCGTAGAGAAAAAGCAGTGTAAATCATTAAAATCAATGAAAAACTTAAAAAATAAGGGAAAAACAATATAAATAGTGAAAATCACTGATAAACTTCAAAAATAGGTCTTTTATTTTCACAGTCTCAGTCTATAGTCTATATAAAGTCAAAATATGTCTTTATCAACAAACCCTAGTAGCAGTGGAATTGGACAAGATTCTTTGTCAAGATACTTGGAAAAGCACTTTGTAAAGAATTGGACAATTCTTGACCAAGACTCTTGATCAAAATTCTTTATCCAGACTGGTGCCAGACTTGCGACAAGTCTGTGACCAGAATTCGACCAGATTCTTGGCCAAGAATTTTGACGTATACGTCAAAATTCTTGCCTATACAGGGTGTCCCGAAATTGGGGGGCCAAACTTAAAAAGTGCATTCTTTATAGAAAAATAACACTTGTTTGTTTAATAAACATGTATCAAAAAATGCCCCCTAACGGAGCTACGGCCCCCTGAATAGGAGCCTAAGAGGATCATTTTTTAAAAACTATTCCTAGAGGTTTGAACAGGAAGATATAAATTTTTGGTACTTTGGTAATTTTGACATGCTGAATCTAGATCTTAGATCAAAACTGTTAAAATTGAATCATAGGCGTTACATTTGGGGGGCAAAGTTACAAAAATAGCCCTAACTTTTTTCTAGGTTAATGTTTTAATTTTTGTTTATGAAATTATGAAAATTTATAGTTTTTTACGAAAAATAAGTACTCTTTATTTAGATCGTTCAGATGCACCATTTTCGAGAAAAATGCATTTATAAATAAATTACTCTCATTATTATTATCTCATATTTTCATTAAAACGTTCATGAAGTGAAGATTTGATACTTTGGTAATATTGACATGCTGAATCTAGATCTAAGATCAAAACTTTTAAAATTTCATCATAGGCGTAACATTTGGGGAGGCAAAGTTACAAAAACATCCCCAATTTTTTTCAGAGTTAATATTTCAATTTTTTTTTATAAAATTATAAAAAATATAACTATTATAAATAACCCAAACGTCACTTTTGTCCTAAAGCTTACTAGAAAATTCTTGCTTATACAGGGTGTCCCGAAATTTTATGTTTTTTACGTACATTTTAAAGTGAAAACGAATACTTTATTAGTAAAAAATGCTGGTACTAATTCAAATAGTAGAATTTTGACTATTTCATTTAATAGAGTAGAGTATTGTGAATGATGCTACTCAGGGCCGGACCTAAGGTGTAGGGGGGGAGTCTATTACCATACTTTTTGAAAATTTTATACGGGGGGTCGAAAAACAAGAAAACATGAAATACTCTCAGGAATAAACTACCTTTATTTTTCGTTTTGGAGCAAAATGACAAATAATATTATTAGGATATCCTATCCAAAGACTAATTGTAAAATTTCAACTCAGTATTCCTAATTTTCTTTTTCTTATAAAGTTTTAAAATTTAATTTCTAATTTATACTTTTGTACCTCATTTCACGTATCCTTTACCTATGTATAGGGTCCCGGACATTTTGTGTAAATTTACATTAATTACCAAAATGAACAATGATAGAATGCAAATTGTCAATTTGACGTTACTTGATAATTGTTGATTGTGTCATTTTTGTAAATATGAAATTAAATTTTAAAACTAAGAAAAATAAAATTTGGAATAATATTTTAAATTTTATTTTTCCGAATAGTTAAAATTTTACAAATGGTCTGGATACAATTTTAAATCTTTTTTTTATTTGTCATTTTGCTCCAAAACGAAAAATAAAGGTAGTTTACTCCTGAGAGTATTTCATGTTTTCTTGTTTTTTGACCCCTTGTATAATATTTTCAAATATAGGGTATGTTCCGTAAATACACACGAGTTACCGGTCTGGTTACTGAAATAAATTCCTGGTTTTCTCGGTTAGTTCATATTTACGGGACACCTTTATTTGAAAAAACATAACCCAACCTACTTTTTCGACCTACTCTTTAAAATCTCTATTGAAACTTTTATTTGTGTCAAAAACTACAACTTGCATATATTTTTAATAATATTTCTATAGTTACATAAACAAACCTAAAACACCCTATATACTGAATTCAATTATTTTTGGACAAAACGTATTTTGTATGCGAAGTCCAAAGATATTATCTTTGGCGAAGTCTGCTCCTGTGTTAAATTTTTAGGTTAGATAACCAACAAAAAACAGTAATTTTGTTTAGGGCAACACTGTTTCCATTTGGTTTGCAGCACTGGTAACCGATTTAACCGATCATACAGCGTCGGTCGTTTCGGTAACGATTGGTCAACCTATTTTTCAGGAACCGCGTTTCTTAACTACATAATTTACAGGAATTTTTCATTTACGGGACACCTTAACCGAAACCAAACCAACCAAGTTGACTTACGGAACATATCCTTAAAGTATGGCAATAGACTTTTTTAAACAAGCAGAACTTTTTAAAAGGAATGACTTTTGGTCGAAAAATGAAAATTTTAGTCAATTTGTCCTCTTGGGCCCTCTATCCATGGACATACAGAGTGTCCCGGGTTTAATGATCTTAATTTTTCCAGTCGGTAGAGAATCAAAAAACAAAACGAATTTTCAAGGAAAACATGTATCGAAAAATTTAAACTGACTCACTTACTGCTTATAACAATTCTTTTCAAAATCAACTAAATTAGTGAAAAAAATTATAGAAACAAAAGCAATAATATTAATTAGTAATCATATTTAATAAAATCATTAGAAAAATACAGTCATGAAGTATATCTTCTTTTTAAAGTGTTTCGTGTTACAAAATACCGCGCGCGCCTAACGTTGGCTAACGGAGGGTTCAGATGCAAGTCGGCACGGGTTCCCGTTTATAGAATGAGCTGAAATTTTTACTGGGAGTATATAAACACGTAATAAATATAATTAGAGGGTGTGCGTAAAAAAATAAAAATAAGGGTATGTTCTGTTTTTGGGTAAAAAAAATTATAAACGAAACTTAAACTTTTAATGTTTTTTTTACCTAAAATGCTGTTTTTTTAACCTAAAATGCTTTTTTTTAGTACCTTTTTAGTTAGCTATTTTTCAGTTTTTAGTACCTAAATATCCCATCCCTAGTAATAAGTGTCCGCTTTACCATAGCATACATTTTAAAATTAATGACATTTCAGTAAACAGTGTTTGTTTGTACTTCAAAAGTTAAAAAGTTATGAGAAAAAAATATTTTTTTATTTAAAAAATTGGGGGTCTGTATCTCAGTTATTTTCAATTTTTCGATACATGTTTTCCTTGGAAATTCGTTTTGTTTTTTGATTCTCTACCGACTGGCAAAATTAAGATCATTAAACCTGGGACACCCTGTATAAAAAAATAAGTTGGTTTTTTATCGTCTCCGCCCCCCCCCAAAAAGTGTGCCTCGGTACGGCTCTGATGCTACTGTAGAATGAGAACCTCTACTTTATAGATTTCTGGTCAAATTCTTGGCCAAGAATCTGGAACAATTCTTGTCCCATTCTTGATAAAAAATCTGTACAAAGTATCTTGACCCATTCTGGCCCAAGTCTTGCCCAATAATCTTGGCCAAGAATCTGGAACAATTCTTGTCCAATTCTTGATAAAAAATCTGTACAAAGTATCTTGACCCATTCTGGCCCAAGTCTTTGACAAAATTGCTACTAGGGAAAAATTAAATTCTATTGGTATACTTTTATATCCTTAGGTACCTATAGAATTTTTTTGACGAGATCCACTTTGCCCCAAGAGGTGACATCAGTGGATTAAAGAAATCCCACACGGACTCCCCTTTAAAACACAAAGGTCTTGACTGTTCATTATTTTAAGTCAAAAGTTAGGTTATTGATATTCAATTGTCAAATACACATAAATATTAACATATCGCCTGTGCAAATAAACGAATTTTGACATTTCGATAAATGTATATTTCTGAATTTTAGAACATATATTGTTTTAAGCAAACTTATCTTTGTTTATGAAAATTAACGCATATAAGCCCAACCACCATTGTGTATTAGACTGACTTGCGCCGGCAAAATTCGCAATCACGTTACAGGTTCGCGACTGCGCATTTTAATATTACGTCAGGAAGTTGTCATCCACTTTACCCCAGCAGATCCACTTAGCCCCGTTTGACGGTATCAGTACAAATTTTTAGTGATAGTTCCTATCCCTACCTTCCTTCCTCCTGTATGATTGGTATTTCTTGTAAAAAGTTACCGCATTCCGTAAACATGCGCGTTGTCAACAAAATTAGTAGACACTTGTTTTTTTAAGAAAAACAATACATATAATATGCTAAAATAAAAATGTCTAGCATCGTTACGAAAGAGTCGAGCTACATTTATCAGATGATCAGTTTGCTAGGAAATCAACATTAAAATTGTGACAAATTTCTAGTGTCCGGTTAATTTTGCGGTCGAGTGTAGTATTACCATAGATTAGATAAAGTATTACCATTGAGTAAAGAATGGTATTACTCGACTAAAACGTTTTTGAAAACAGAAAACTAAAAATGGTGCTGCTAACCAATCGAAATTAAAAGCCGCGCGCATGATCGAAAACTGCCGTGTTTTTACGAACTATGGCCAAGTTAAATTTGAAATTCATTCATTGGAAAAAAAAATTAACTGCATAAAACATATATTTTTATTTATGAAAAAAAGTAAGTTCTTATTTCACGCACTTAATTTACAATTTACAATAAAATAATACAAAGCGGGAAATCCCCGTGGCTTCGACCAGAGTTGCCAATTGTCTAAGCAGAAAAAATTAGGCTCAGTCAGGTCTTGGTCGTACACTTCGAGAAGATTATCATCTTCAGTAAAACTAAATAGTGTTTTTATTTAAAAATTATTTTATAACAGAAATGGTGAAATATGAGTTTGATATTTTAACGAAAAAGCCGTGTTTTTAAATGCACGGCAGTACCATAAAGCTGTGGCCATACATTTAGTCAAAAAAGCCGTGAAAACACGGCAATTGCCGTGTCATTGGCAGCACTGGTGCTGACCGACTTAGGGCCGGTTTATCAATCTCTGGTTAAGTTCCAGTTAAGCCCGCTGCACAATAGCCCGGTAACGGGGACGGGAATCTTAACATTAAAGGTGGGAGAGACTAAAAAACCACTGTTGACAGATAGGGTTCAATGAGTCTCTCCCACCTTTACCGTTTAGGTTCCCGTTACCGTGCTGTTGTGCAGCGGCCTTTAGTCTATCTATTTAAATTCCATATCGATCGTTGCGAGACATTGATAAACCGGCCCTTAATCGAGTTTTTTTTAATTTTTCGTTAAAAAACTACAAAAAAATATTTTATTATAAATAAATAAATAAATATTATTAAATAAATATAAATAATAGAAAAAGTTGGGACACAATGGGATTTGGAGAATTAAAGGCAAAATAAATAAAGTTTTTCTTGAAAAATAATAAATAAAAAATGCGATCAAATTTGTATTTATCTGAAAATATGAAAAATTTCACGAATTAAAAAGTAATGGATTTGGAGTAAAATTCCCCATAAATTGCAGTTTTATAAAAACTTAGGGATAGTTTAGGAAGATTAAATTTCTATATTAAATTTTAAATTAGTTGTAAGATTCTTCAAGGCGACATTTTTGCCTGCCGGAGCAGGGCCCTGATTCGCCCCCTTGCTACAATCTAAGGCTTCATGGTCAAAAATGTCATATAAAAGATGTCCAAAAAATGCAAATAACAGATGCCAATAATGACGGATGACAGGTGTCTAAAATGACCGCAATTACCGTCTTCTAAAGATATTTTGATTTCTAATAATCAAAATATTGAAACAATTTGGTTTTAGAATATTGGTTTCAACTAAAACGCTTTATAATTTCAAAACTTCATTTAATGGTATAAACAAATTGGAAACAAAATTGAACATGTTATGTTATAAAAAATCAACATAAATTATCACACTATTAATGGTCTAACTCAAGCTTAACTCTATTTTTTGTTACTTATAAATATTCAAAAGCTTATAAAATAGATTTTTTAGCAACAACTCAAAAAGAAGACAAAGGGTTTGAAGTGAATGCCCATCACCTTTACCCTGTGATTATATATGTTACCTACTGTAAGATGTATGAATTTCTTAATCCCATCCCGAAACACAAAAATAAAACGAGCCTTATATAAAGCCTTTGAAAATTAATACTGTTGATATGTAAATTATCAAAACCAGTGAAATTAAAAAAAACATCAGCCAGTAGGCAGATTTTTTAACTTCATCTTAGCAAGCAAAACAAAAAAGGGTCTTAAAAAACTAGAAAAAAAAATATTGTCTTGTAGAAAAATAAAAAATGCAGATTTACTTATACGGGATCGCGAAAAATGTTTTTTAGGTCGTGTTCGTAGAAGGCAATCAAAGTCATTATTCCCACCCCGAGGAATAGACCACTTAGATGCAGTATGCATTGAGTAATGTTACTTTCGTCTTCGTGCGCTGAACTCAGTTCGGGGATCATGTCGACCAAGGCTATGTAGAGGAACATCCCGGCTGCAGCGGCAAAAACCCAGGAACTAGCGTACTCGGTGTTGCCTAACCAGACTCCAAAAATGTTTCCGAATATGCACAATACGCTGGAGAGCAGGTTGTAGAACACTGCCTGTTTTATTGTCATACCAGCTTTTAGAAGCATGGCGAAGTCGCCCAGCTCGTGTGGAAGTTCGTGGCAAAATACTGCAACTGTCGTGGAAAACCCTCCAGCAAGGCTGCCGGAAAATGCGGCGCCAATTGCCATACCATCAGTAAAGTTATGTAATCCATCACCTGAAATTATTCAATACTTTTTTAAAAATGATTTTTATAGGTACCTATAAGTATATTTTGGCGCGCATCGGGCGAGCGCAAAGCTAACGAAAACTTCCAAGAAGTTAGCCGCCTAAGAAATCGATGAGCGAAAGTGGGGACGCGTAAACGTATAGAAGGGGGAATCGTATTCGCGTGTGTGTTCATGGCGCAAGAAATGAGTGGCTGTGTAGTAGACTGGGCCAAAAAAATCGACTATTTTTTTTTGTAAAGTATATCGAAAATATTGTTTGGCGTGACAAAAAAAAATATGGTGAAAGTTTGAGTCCATAATATTAATATTAAGAGGTCTATCATCGCAATTTTAGATTTTAGAGCGAGTTTTTGCCTCAGAATTCCCAAACAATTGAGTTTAACAAAATTGACTTAAGAATATTTTTTGAAGAAAATTGAATGCTCTACAAAAAAGGTTTCATTGGAATTTTCCATCAGATGAACCGTTTTCTTACAATCATGCCTTAAAAATTGATATAGTTTTACAATTTGATCTTTTAACTTTGGAATTTTGTAATTCATGTAAAAACCAGTACCCGGAAAAAAACCGATAGATATTCTTATGGGAAATCAAATGCCCTACAAAAAAGTGTTCTAACATTTTTGGCTAAATTTACTCCATCAAAAATTATTCAAGGTTAAATTTGAAGTCAAAACGAAATTCTTGTTTTTTCCGCTCTAGATTTTTTTTTGATCAGTTAAAAACTTGGATTCTGTTATTGATAAAATTACTGAAAATTAAAAAAAAAAATAACACATTAGAATTTTTTCGCTTTAAGAAGCTATTTTTTTTTTAGAAAATATTATTTTCACAATCGCAATCATGTTGTTTTTTTATTGGAAATTGTTAATTAGTTATATAATTCACATTTATAAAGAAAAAATCAAATTATGATCCATAAAAAAATAAATCTACAGAGGAAAAAACAAGAATTTCGTTTTGACTTCAACTTTAACCTTGAATAACTTTTGATTGAGTGAATTTAGCCAAAAATGTTAAGAGGTTTTTTTTGTAGCATTTGATTTCCCATTAGAATATTTATCGTTTTTTATGGGTGGGTCAAAATTTATTTACAGGCACATTTCAGTCCCTGGCAAAAAAAAAAAAATTTTTCAAGCATTACCTGGTTACACATACCATTCCTGTGTAAAGGCATATAATTTCCAGTAAAAAACAAAGTACGGTAGCTTTTGTATAAAAAAAATTAAAAGTAACGAAGTTTAAAATGACCAAATGTAACGCCGGTCACATATCCCTGTCGTCTGTTTATTATGTTAAATCTGTTGCATTTTACTGTCCAAAGTTGAAAATAAATATTTAAATAATTTACGATATAGAAACAGTTACGTAATTTTTTAATCAATTTTTCTTATACTCCTCTTTACAATATCAAAGTTTCGGTAGTGCCTTAAAGCTGTGTCCCCCAGATTGTGCGTAACGCCGGTAGCACTCCATATACGCTCACATTTTTGCCGCCAGAGGCGCTAATATCAGTCTTCTTTAAATTTTGTGTTACGAAAACTTTGCTGCTAGTGATTTTGCATTAAATAGGTAAGTTTTCATTAAATTTACTTAATTTTTCCTCAAATTATGAAAAAATTAGTTCATGCGTATGTTTTTGTGTCGTAACAACGGTCACATGGCCTATTTTTAATATTCTTCAAATTTCTTATTAATTGCTAAATATAAAAGTATTTTATTTATTTATTTATTTACATCAATATATGCGTTCATAATAAATATGAATATTTTTTTATTTCGTTATTACGTTTTACAAAATTTGTTTAATAATCTATGATTTGAACGTGTGACCGGCGTTAAAAAAGGTTGCTTAAAGAAGATGCCGGAAATTCAGAAACCTACATATCCAGTGCGGACACATACAAAATTTGGTAGAAGAAACCTGTACCAACTAAAAAACTTGGGGTTTTTTAAAATACACCGACTTTTATTTTTTAACTTTTATTTTTCGGAATTGGCCCGTAAATAAATTTTGACCCGGGTACTGATTTTTACATGAATTACAAAATTCCAAAGTTAAAAGATCAAAATGTAAAACTATACCAATTTTTAAGGCATGATTTTAAGGTTGATCTAACAAAAATTTTTATTTTAACCTTTTTTGCATTTCATCTTCTTAAAAAAATATTTCTTAGTCAATTTTGTTAAACTCAATGGTTTGGGAGTTCTGAGACAAAAACTTGCTGAGGAAAAAATATTTAAAATTGCGATGATAGACCTCTTAATATTAATATTATGGACTCAAACTTTCACAATTTTTTTTTGTCACCGTAACCATATTTTTGATATACTTATCAAAAAAAAATAGTTGATTTTTTTGGCCCAGTCAACTGTGCAGTACTAAATCTGTTCAAAATAAATTTTAAAAAAATCCTGCAAAGTTTCAGCTCATAATAGTATATTATGTATCAAGTTTGATAAACGCCATTTTATACACGAATTTAATTTAGGCACGAGCGAGCTTGCGAGCGAGTGCTTAAATTAATGAGTGTATAGAAAAGTTTATAAACGAGGTGCATACTATACTTTTTCTATGACAAATACTTATTATTATCTTAAAATGATTTAAATCAAAAATTTGTATAGAGCGCCATCTATGAAACAACAGGGGTCAAATGTCACATTTTTACATTTTATAAACACAATTATAAAGGTTATAAATCGAAATATATCTTGAAAATTGACAGTTTTTCACAGTGAAATTAAAGGAAATGTTTTATGAGGACTTTACAGTAGAGTCCGTGCCCGAATTTAAGTTATAGTTTACTGCCGGCGAAATTAAAAGGTCAGTACAATGTTCATATAAACTTTTCAAATATTGGCGTTGAAAAACTATTTAATATTTTTGTATCGAGATAATAAAATAATTTTCACATTTAGCATTATTTTACAAGAAAGGCACTTTATTTTAACGATTGTATGACATTTGACAACTGTCAACTAACTTAAAACTAACTTCAGCCCGTGACTAAAAACCTGTTGCTAACTTCAGCCCGTGACTAAAGCGCCATAAAGCCACAACTTGTCAATGTGTATTTAAAAGGTCACTTAGTGTCATGGAAACATGTACGATAAAGGGCGTTTTAAAGGTGGGAGTAGAAAAAAATAATTTTTACCTGGCCCCATGGCAGTCAGTTTTCAATGGAAAAACACATGTGCATGTCTTTTTTTAAAATCAAACTTTGATTTTTGTGCTATTTAGTCTAATTAATTAATTAATTACGGTTTTACTTTGGAAAAAATCTCAAGCATTATTTTTCCTCGGAATCTAGCTTACATAGGAACTAGTAATAATGTCTTGAAAGTCACAAGTGAAACTTTGCCGGTGTTGCCAATTTTATTACCATCAAAATTTTGTAAAGTCAATATTTTCCGAGTTAATCGAGAAAAACAGTTTTTCCTTTGACCTATTATATTTGGCAAAGCCGGCACGATTTCACTTGGGACTTTTAAGACATTATTACTAAGGCCCATAAAATATCCAATTTGTAAAATTTAACAAAATATTCCGTTCACTCAAGAAGGCCACTATAATTTTTGACAAGTTTGCTTTCTAAAGTCTAATAATTTGTTCAAGGTTGGCAGTTAATTAATTAATTAGTTAACTTTGTTACTTAATTAAGTTTTTAGGTATTTTTAGTAGCAATTATGTTTAATATTGGGCATTTTACCTATTAAGTAAATATAAAATAAAAAAATATCTGGAAATGGTCATCATGAAGATATATTTTTTGAAATGTTAAATAAAAATCTAAATAAATTATAATTCCGAAATGACAAATATGAAGTAAAAAAAAATGTGGCAATACAAAATTTTGACCTCAATTTTAGAAAAAACAATTAAAAAAAAATTGAGTGAATTCACTTAATTTTTTATATTTTTTTGTATGTATTTACCTACAATTTAAAAAAATAATTTTAACGATCGAAACATTTTTAGCCAACTTATCGCATTTTCAAGAAAAAATCTCACTTGTAAAAAAAGAAAAATCGATGTTTCTGTCCATTTTTCAAAAATTTTTTATGGGTGAACAAAACAAATTTAAGCAAAAAGAAAAAACGACCTACGCCTTTTTGCCTGGTCGATTTGAGATGGAAAGTCCCAATATATAATATTTTCACGGTTTTCATTTCATGCAAAAATGCTCAGTCCACGATTTTGGATGTGTAAAATTCCGCATAAAAAAGAACTTTACCAGAGTAAACTACTTACCCATGATGACCATCCAGGCCACGGCGCTGAAATTTTGCGGAGCGGCGTGCACGTGGCCGTGCGCGTGCGAATGTCCGTGGTGCGAGGTCTCGTGCTCGCGCAATATCACCATAATGTCTTGGTGGTCGTCGCGCTTGCCGCCGGGCAGCATTTTGTTGGACTCGGTGCACGCGGTGTCGCCCGACGTGCATTGCGTCATGTTCTGGTTGGTTTCGGGTTTCTCGATGTTGGCCGAATGGGACTTTTTGAACGACTGCCCGTCCGAGTTCGAGCCGAGATCCACCATCGTCGTGCCAGTTTTGTCAGCGTCGTAGTATTTGGTTTCTGAAAAGTTTAAATACACATTTTTAAGTTTTTTTTTTTTAATATTTTTTCCCTTTAATCATTTTTATTATTTAATAAAATTTATTTTTCTACTACCTTAATGGAAAACTTAATTTTCCACCCCCGAGCGAGGGAGGAAAATGCCTCTTTTCCTCCCTCTATTTTTTTTAACAATTTTACATTAGCAAGAGTTTTGTACCTTGTCTAGCCTTATTTGATTTTGTACGAAAAAGATCTACTCCGCGCTTGTTCAACCATTCTTTGTTTAGTTTAGTTTAGTTTTTTGCTTATAACAAATGTTTTAGCAGTGTCAAAGTTACAAAAAAAATACAAGACTACATTCATTTTTATATCGCTTTTTCGATTTTTGAGGAAGAAGATTAATTTCAACTACTCTTGCCTCTTCAGCAAGATCTTGCGGCAGGTCTTCTTCGCTAGAACTCATTTTTAAAACGTAGGAAGAATTTCAAATTTATGATAACCTGACAGCTTATAACAACCGTTATGTTTGTTTTACAAAAATACCATAGCATAAGTCATAGTCATAATATTATAGCCCCATACCGGGTTACTAAAAATAACCCGAACCCTTAAATTGTCTTTAAAACCGTTAAAAGGTAATAGAAAAAACCATATACATACCTCAGGAGGAAAATGCGTTTCCTCCCTTGAATCAGTGCCGGTTTAACAGGGGTTTTTTGGGGACTATAGCACCGGGCGGTAAATATTTTTGGGGCGGTACCGCGTACCACCCATAATTTTTTTTTTAAATACTTAATTGTTAGAATTTAGAAAAAAATTATTGCGACACTGCGTCGGCGGATACAACGGATACAAATGAGAAAAATGTTGTTAGAGTTGAAGCAGCTTCTCCATCAGAAAAACTTGATTTATTGGAAACGGAATAATTTTAACTTTTTGGATAGACGTTTTGCAAAGGGTTAATGAAACCAATAAAGCAGTCCAAAAACAAAATATGGATTTAAGCACAAATGCTCATCTTTTGTCATTTTTAGTTGAGAACTTTGATTTTTTACGTGATCATTTTGATCATTATTAGGAAACGAAAATTATGCTCAGAAGCGGATAGGTAATCATAAGAAAATTACAATTTGAAGAAAATAATTCAGAGGCAAGTTTAAGCAAAAAAGAAACAATGCGAACAATATGTTTTATTTTAATAATTGACAATCTATAATCCGAAATCATTTGTCGATATGATAGCTAGAAATCTGGCACAAACAAATTTGAATTTTTGTTTAATCTAAAAGTATAAATCTTCGTGGAGGATTTGGATGAGTTTTTTCCTCAAAAATGTGTCCAACTTAAGAAACTGGTAACTTCCCTTTCGGAAATAAAAATATAAACTCCATTGGAATTAGTATAAGTTTTATACGAAAATAAATTAATATCTTCATTTTCGAATATTAATATTTGTCTGCGAATTTTTTTTTTATAATGGTTTCAAATGCAAGTGGTGAACGATCTTTTTCTACTCTAAAAAGGGTAAAGAACTACCTAAGAAATACAATTCCCCAAGAAAGATTTAACTCCTTAGCAAATCTGTCCTGCTAGATGAAATAATAATAATAATATATAATATAATGTAAAGTGTTATAAAACAATTTGCTACTATAAAGGCTTGAAAACAACCTTTTAATTATTAGTATTAGGATTTCTCAATATTTATTTAAACCAAAGAAGAATGTTTTATTAATTTATAACTTTTGATTAGTTTTTATTAGTTTAATGAAACAAAATATTAAACTTTTATTTTTTAATTAGTTTTTCTTAGTACTTAGGTAGTATTGTTTATATAAACCAAAGAATGTTTTATTTTTTAGTTAGTGCTTTTGATTAGTTTTTATAATTTGTTTATAAAGGCTCATTTTATATTTTATAGGATACTAAGTTTACTGTTAGATACCAGCCTAACCAACCTAATCTTCCACTTGACGTGAGAAAGTAAGACTTAAAAATTTAAATATGTTTTTAAAGAAGTAATATTTTAAAGCATTGGGCGTTGTGTTTGTGCCAGAACCGGGCGGCGAACTAACTTAAACCGGCACTGCCTTGAATATTTAATGCCCTTCGCTTCGCGTCGGGCATCAAACTATTCACGGGAGGAAAAACATTATTTTCCTCCTATGGTATGTAAATAGCTATTCTGACCCCAAAGCCTACAAAAATTTTTTACTATATAATATAATGTTAAGGCGTTTACAGCATTAACAGGTACATATGTTTACAACAAATGTATAGGTACCTAAATATACATACATATTAGGGTGGGCCAAAAAAAACTTTTAATTTTCTTTTCTTTCGCTACCATGAAAATATCGTCCAAGATGACGAAAAAAAAATTCTGATAAAGTTTGAGCTCTTAATATCCATATTAAGAGGTGGCTCATCGCGATTTTTTATTTTCCATTTAAATAACAAGGGAAAAATATAATTTTTTTTTTTGTAATTTTATTGAGTTTTAACGAATCAGTGAGTTGTAGAAATCAATACATATTCTTGTAGGTAATTGAACGATCGACAAAAAAGATCTGATATGATTTTTTGCATAGTCGACTCTTTTAAAAGTTATTTGAGATTAAAGTTCAACTTCAAATAATAAATGATGACTTTTATAGTTTTTCATACTCTATCACGAAATATTGTCTCAAAAACATCGAGGTTATCGAGTGTTCTTGATTTTTTACAAAATATCAATAATAGTGAAAAAACCGGTTTTTTCCTATATTTAATTTTTGAGCCAATATTTCGTGATAGAGTATGAAAAAGTATAAAAGTCATCATTTACTATTTGAGGTTAAACTTTAACCAAAAATAACTTTTAAACGAGTCGACTAAGCAAAAAATCATATCAGATCTTTTTTGTAGATCGTTTAATTCCCTCACTCACTGATTCGTTAAAACGCAATAAAATTACAAACAAAAAAATGTTTTATCCCGTGTTATTTAAATGGAAAATAAAAAATCGCGATGAGCCACCTCTTAATATTAATATTAAGAGCTCAAACTTTATCAGAATTTTTTTTTCGTCATCTTGGACGATATTTTCATGGTAACTAAAGAAAAAAAATTAAAAGTTTTTTTTGCCCACCCTAATACATATACATATCCTTACATAAGTAGTAAATTGTTACATTTTTTTAGCAGTTTTAACTAGGAATATCCACACAGAGCTGTGCGGTACTCGAGTACAAGTACTCAAACACTGTACTCCAAGTACTTTCAGTGTATTCGGTACTCAGTCCCGAGTACTTTAATTTGAATGTACTTATACTTGTACTTGATACATTTAATATTGCAAAAATGTACTCAAGTACTTTCCCGTGTACTCGAGTACATCCAAAGTATCCCTTGCGGCCTTGAGTTCACGGTTTATTCACCGTGAATTCACCATGAATTCACCGTGAATTTACCGTAAATAAACCGTCTGTTTGTGACATTTGTAAACGGTAGTTAGACGGTGAATTCACGCACTTTTCACAGACGGTTTATTCACGGTGAATTCACGGTGAATTCAGTGAATTCACGGTGAATTCACCGTGAATAAACCGTGAACTCAAGGCCAATGGAACCACTACGGACTTGGCTTTTCAATGTCGTCGTTTATTAAATATGTACTGGTAGTTTATAACTTCCAGAATAACAATATAACGTTTAAGTAGGCAGGTAAATTTATAAACCCTTTAAATTTTACTGTTGAACTTGTGAATTTAGTTTTTGTAAAATAAATGCGCTTCATCAATATTTAAGTATAAACAAATTATTTATTTAATAATGTTTATAAATAAAAAAATCTTAATATTTATTATTAATTTTTTATTTAATTATTAATACCGTCTATTAGCAACAAAATTACTATTTATTAAAAAGTAAACAACCATTTACAAACAATTAAAATAATTTATTATTTACATTACCACGTGGTACTTGCAACCTTGAGATTACCGTGAATTTGCGGTGTTTTCACAGTCAATTTACGGTGTTTTCACAGTAAACTCACAGCGCTTTTACGGTGAATTCACGGTGATTTCACGATAAATTTACGGTACTTTGAAAGTGAATTTGCGGTGATTTTGCAAATTTGAGTTCACCGTGAATTTACCGTGAAATCACCGTGAATTAACCGTGAAATCACCGTGAATTTATCGCAAAAACAGCGTGAGTTCACCGTTTAATTACCGTCTACAAATGTCACAAATGGACGGTATATTCACTGCACATAAACGGTGTATTCACGGTGAATTCACGCAAACCGTGAATTCACGGTGAATTCACCGTAAACTTAAGGCCGCAAGGGATACAATGAGTACATTTTAATGCGGTGAGGTTGGCGTGGACAAATATGTGCGTGGGTGTTGAAAATTTGGCAACACTGCTCAGACTGGTGCCTGAGGCAGCCTCAGCCAGCCTGCCTCACACGAAAGGCTTAAGACAGCCTCAATCAATAAATAAAAAGACACAGGAAAGAGCATTAACCAAAAGGTTTTTACTTATGTATGAAATGTAATTTTGTTTATATTTTGGTAGAAATAATGTGACAATATTCCTCAAAAAGATAATTAAAAAATAAAGCTAAAGCAAAGTAAAACAAGATACAAGCCAGCCTTGATAATTAACATAAAGCGAAATATCAATATTTGATGAAGGCAATAGGCCGGCTAGGATTTAGTTTTGCACTAGTGATTCTAAATTCATTTCTTAATCGCCCCATTTCTCTAGCATTTTCCCCAACATTTCATAACTCGTAATGTACTCGGTCCTTTGTACTCGTATGGGTACTCGAGTAATATATAGGTAATATATAGGTATAACTCCCAACATCCAGAACAAGAACATAAAAACAAACGTTAATCTGTTGCAAGGAAAACAAGTCCATGAACTTAACAGAAAAAAAAATTATGCGTCAGAAATGTAAAAAGAAGAAGAAAAAAAAACGCACTACTTTCCAATATACAGAAGTATACTACCATGGCACAATTTAGACACAAACTGGAACTTAATGGCGCCCGCGCCACATAGTTTTTAAACAAATCAGACACCATGAATCTAAAATGTAGCTAAATGGAAACCTTTTCGTCCTTTTGGTAAATTAACTAAAACAGATTAGAAAGGTACAATATGGAAACATTGAGTCAACTAGTCAACTAAGTCAGTGTAACCGTTTCCAAGAGGACACAAAATCGGCGCAAATTAGGCACATCAGGGGCGGCTAGTGCATAAGGGCAGCAGAGCTGCAGAACTCCCAAAATTTTCTTATTACTTGACTAATTTTTTAATTATTTAATATTTAAGTGCGACAGTGTATAAATATTTCAAACGCATGACTGCATAAAAAGTTTTTATTATAAACATTCGCCTTGTCGCCGTACTTGGCTCCAAACGACCGGTAAAGGTCTCTAACGCTTAACGCTTACAATACAACAAAGCTGGACCACTTTCGAGTTCTGGCTCCCATTTCAATACCGTAATTTTGCTCCGCGCCGCTCTTGGTCCTGGGTTAAGATAGCGAAATTTAAGCCAAACCGGAGCTGCACCAACATACAGTTCCTACTTCCCGGTCGTTTGTTTTTCGCTTCGCGTTCACGATTGTTATTTTAACTAGAAGACTGTTAATTCTGTGTATTTTTGTGTTTTGTGTTTATTGTTGTATTTTTTTGTAAGAATAAATGTGGTGTATGATTTAATTAATTAACTGTAGGTACCATTTAATTAAATGCCAACTGCTCCACATTTTTTTAAACCCCACTGGCAGAACTCACAAATTTTACTGCCACGAGCCGCCACTGAGGCACATGTTTTTAAAATAATGCTACTTATACTTGGACACAATTGTTTTTAAACGTGCCGAATTTGAAGAATGGACAAAATTTGGAAACAAAAAGTGTCGTGCACAAGTTCAGGCACAAATTGCTGCTTGGGATTGCAACACAAATATTTACAGTATACTACTATAGGTACTTACTTGTATCTTGCATAATATCTTGAAAACAATATGGTATGGAGTTGTATTTGTCCATACAAGTTTCATTTACAACTCTAACATGTGAATGTGCCTGAAAGAAATTTAAAAAATCAATAACCTCTTTAATATGTTTTTAAATAGAGTATAAAAATCCAGAATGAACGATTATTTAACTATAGCTATGGTTATAGCTTCAGTAGACAATCTTAAGACAGTTATACCTTGCTTGAATTTATATTCTTAAATAGTTACATAGGGTGTTTCAAACTGATTTAGCCAGTTCTAGTTCCTAAAGGATCAATCCATATATAATCAACCAAAGGTTGCTGAAAAAAATTATTTATTTTTTATTTTAGTACCTATGTTTGTACTATATTCAGAGAGTTAAAAACAGGTATTCATTAATAGGATGTTCAGTATTTTTTTTTGAGTAGTCATTTGTTTTGGCCTGTCAGCCTATTTTGCATTTTACAGAGGTTTGGTTTTGGTTTTTAAAGATATTTAGTTTAAACAAAAACTACATTAAAGAGCATAAAATGTACAATATTTTCTGTCCAGTATATACAGGGTGCCATGTAACAAGTTGTCATCCCTTGGGAGGTGATAGTTCAAAGAAAGAAAGTTTTTCCTCTACAATAAAAAAATGTAAAGATAAAGGCTTTATTGCAATTTATCTAAAATCAGGTATTTTCAATCTGAAATATTTTAGAAGTGACGCACTTTAAAAATACAAAATTAGAAAACGTAGTGTTTTAATAAGAGGTTAAAATTTTATCACTGAGACTTTATAAGTTGTAAAAATTTAGACTTTTAGTTAAACATTTTTAAACATAGCTAAAATTTCAGAAAACGCTATTATTGTTTGTAATAAAAAAGAACACATTGTTTTTTTACATATTATTATTATTATTTTACGGTTTACAATCTTAACAAAACATGTTGTCCAGGGTGTCTTAAAAGTCTCGCTTTGCTCGCGCGTCTACTATACTTCCGTGTTAAGCTTAAAGGTCGTATCTGCAATATTTTGTAGTAAAGGACAGAAGAAAATTTTAATTAAAAAAAAAAATAAAGAATACAGTTTTTTCTTTACTACCACATACTGCCGTTCGAAGACAAAACTTCATATCCGCAATATTTAGTAGTTAAGCAAAAAAGCCATTTTTTATCGTTTTTTAAAATTAAAATTTTCTTCTGTCATTTACTACAAAATATTGCAGATACGCCCTTTAAGCTTAACACGGCAGTATAATGTACATTCCCAGATAACAAACGTGATTTTCACGTTTTATTCACAACATGATTTTCACGCATGAGAAAAATATGCGTTCACCGTGATATCACGTGTGATATTTATTCTATATATTCACGCATGAGGAAAATATGCGATCACCGTGATATCACGTGTGCCATTTATTCTTTACCTATATAAAGTTATTTTCATGTCAATACATTGCCTAACTATTGTTAGGCATTGCATTGATTAATGTCGACATGAAAATAACTTTAAAAATATTAAGAATAAATGTCACACGTGATATCACGGTGATCACATATTTTCCTCATGCGTGACATGAAATAAATTTAAAAACATTGGAACCAAAACTCACGTGCGCATGGGGCGCACGCGCATAATTGTATCAGCGCAAAGTCCGCAAAACAGTCTTGTCAATGATCGACACTTTGCCAGGTCTCCCGTTATAGCGGCAAATCTACCGTTTGTTGCAGTTCTCCTTATAAATAAAATTGATAAATAACATAAAGACAAAACCACGTAATTGATTGGGTACCAAGGCAATTAAGGGATGTCTTTACACCAAAAGGCTAATTGGAATAAAAAATTAATTTTTATTTGCAAAATAGATTTTATAAAACAATGCGAAATAGATTTTATAAAACAATTTATGATTCGCCATGATTCAGATAAAGAATCCGTTAAATATTTTAATTTTTTGTTACCAAAGATTCTTATTTTTGACAATGTTTAATTAAGTTTATATGGCATATTTTTATGTTTTGTTTTGTTTGTTAAAGTTTAATATTAAAAATACATGGCGGAGTATTTAAAATAAAAACCATCATTTTCTATTTGAATCTCCCGCTTTTTTCATGAAAGCGACCTGGCAACGCTGATAACAAACACGTGCCGCGCAATCTTTATCAGAATTCTGTGTGCATTTGTTTGATGGTTTTATGGTGCCTATTTACAGTACATATTAAAATATCTCTAAAAATAACAAAAGGAACCCTTGAAAACGAGTTTTTTAATACGTACTAAATTCAGGTAAGTGGAATAATTATAATTTAATGAAAACGCTGGATTACGAGTTGATGGTTTTAAGGTTATGTGCTGCGACAATCACAGCAAATATTCTATATAGTACGTAAGATATAGTCAAATATTGTTCATTATACCATGTTGTTTGTCTTGCAGATATTGCGGTAGAAGTTACTTCTTACCCTGGTCCCTTAACAAAAGAAAAATTCAAAACCAAACTTTTAGAAGTGTTTAGAGCTACAAAACAAAGATTTAAGAATAGTTTAAACAAGAATGAGATAAACCCAAAAAAACGGAATCGCATGAAAAAAACGAATTCTTGGTCAAAATCAACATCTAATAAGAAAAAAGAGCATTCAACTCCGTTATCAAAGTCAGATTCTGCACATTCTGATTCTGAAGCAATGTCATGTGACTTTGATGCTACCTCAGAATACGATGATTCTGAGTCAAGATCAGATAGGTTGGAAGATTCTGAATCTGAAATTGAAGAATCAAATAAGAAATATAAGTCATGGAATAAACCTTTTCTCGATGAAAAATAACTGTCAATTTGTGATATAAATAAAAAAATTACTTGATTTTTATATTTTTTTGTATAAATAAGAACCTAAAAATTATCTTAAAATATCACGCATGATATAACTATGACTGCTTTGTGATATTTATTTCTCACGCGTGAATTCACTGTGATCTACATGTGAGGACGCATATGTTATAAACATGAGTCTCACGCGTGATCGAAAATGCGCTCATTGTGATTTCACAGTGACATCATTTTGTTATCTGGGTTATAATGCTCGTTCACCCATTTTTCTGCTATCCATAACTTTTTAAAAATGTCCAACTAAAAAACTAATAAGTGATGAAATTTTAACCACTTAAAACAGCACAATAAATTAATGTTCTTAAAAAGTTGGTATATATGATATACCGGGTGTATCTGAGAATAGGCGCACCCCTGTAACTTTTTTATTTATGAAGATAGACACATAAAATTTAGCATGGTTAATTAGGATATAAAATGCCACTTATAAGAGTACAAAATGAATTTTTTGAACTTCCGGTTTTGCCGGAAATGATATCAACTTTCGATTTTTAAATGGAACGCCCTATATATTTTTACATATTTAGAATAATTTGAGAAAAACGAATTTTGACAAGTTTAGACTGCTGGGAATAGCTAAATAACAACTTTCTAAGGCAAGTTCCATTTTTCAGGATTGTGCGAATCCATTAGAAAAAAATAAGATAGTTCAAAGCACTCTAGATTGATCTTTATGTTGATACATTTTCTGATGACGAAATGTCAAAAGGTCAATTTGAGGATGCTGTCTGACTCAGAATTTCCTCAGGATTCCAAATATGTAAAAATATATAGGGCATTCCATTTAAAAATCGAAAGTTGGTATCATTTCCGGCAAAACCGGAAGTACAAAAAATTCATTTTGTACTCTTATAAGTGGCATTTTACATCCTAAATAACCGCGCTAAATTTCATGTGTCTATCTTAATAAATAAAAAAGTTACAGGGGTGCGCCTATTCTCAGATACTCCCGGTATATGATATGATATATGATATATATGATAATAATACCCGATTTTAGACGAATCGCAATATTTAAGATATTTAAAAAAATGTTTAATCAAAAAACAAATAGATTAAATTGTTACCAATTATTACTACACAACAAATTAATGCTCTTAAAATGTTTGGTATATATGATATATTTCAGATTAAAAATACCCGATTTTGGACAAATCGCAATATTTAAATACCCATTAAAAAAAGATGCAGAGTCTTAGTTTTATATCTAATATTTATAATTATAAAAGACAAAGATTTTATTTTAAAAACGTTAACCATTAATTGTTTTGTTTATTTACAGTTAAGTAGGCCTATAAATACTGTATGTATATTGCATATTTTATACTCTTTAACGTGGTTTTTTTTTCAACAAAGTATCGTTAAAAACCAAGAAGATATATCTTCTCTGTACCTATTGGTACAGAGTTTAACGCAAACCTCTGTAAAATGCCAAATAGGAGAAAACATGAATACAAAGTGAACACTCAACAAAAAACTTAACATCTAAAAAATTAATAACCACCTGTATTCAACAAGCATAGGTAAACAAAAATTAATAAATTTTATATGGATTGACCTTAAACCATTTGAAATATTTCAGTGGAACAAAAACTAGGTCATCATTAAGCTATGAAGCTGCTTTATAAAATAGTAAAAGAAACCCCTAAGAAGTCAACCCTTCACCCCAAAATTAGAAATAACATCCTGTATATTTTATTACATTTCCTTCTCGGAATCAAAATTAAATATCTATTCAATAGTTAATAAATAGCTAGAAATTATGCACTAAAAAATCAACAATATTAGCAGATTGATTTTAACGTTTAAACTAAGCCAATCGGTTTACAAAATAACTTTGATAATAATTATTATCATAATTATGATTGAATTGTTACGTGGGTTAACTAAATCATAGCATTGTTTACCCAAGATCCATCGAGAATTTTAATGAGTCGACCTCAATAATTTTAATTAATCGAATAATTTGTTTCATCGATTGTAAGGTTATCTTATTAAAGTAGTTTTTTTATTTTGACAAATACAGACATTATAATAATTTTTTCTACTCTCACCTTTAAAACGTTCATTATCGTACAAGTTTTTAGTCACGGGCTGAAGTTAGCTTTAAGTTAGTTGACAGTTGTCAAATGTCTTACAATCGTTAAAAATAAAGGGTCCTTTTTGAAAAATAATACTAAATGTAAAAATTATTTTATTATCTCAATAC